AGGAAGAGTACCACTTTTATCAGACAAAAAAAAAAAAAAAAAAGAAAAAAAAAATATTATGCATAACACTTTCCGCTTTTTCAACTCATTGCAACATATAAAAAGTTTTTTCTTTTCTTTTTAAAAATGTGTTATTTATAGACTGATTATGGGATTGTTACATAAATAGAGCCTTTTTCTTGTAAGTTTGAATAGTAGGGGTTTAAAAAATATTGAAACAAAGAAGAAAAAAGTACCAACTTAAATTTTATTGTTGAAAAACAATTATAAAGATCCTGTAAGTTAGGTTATATATAGAATAAAAATTATCAGTTAATCTTGAACAATATTTGATTTGATTTTATTCATATTAGGAAACATTTATTCTCTATTATGTTTAAATATAATATTTATTAATATAATATTTAAATATGAAATTTTAAATATTATATTACTGTAATACATTAAAAATAATCGTTAAGGTTTGCAAAATTACTTGCTTGTACAATTTTTTAAAATATAATGTTATTTCAGCAGTAATAAGGCTTTTACGGATTCCTCAATGCGACTTTTTTTGTTAAAAATTTTTGTTTTTATAAATCTTCGTGTGGCGCTGTCTTCAATCTGTGGCACGTATGCTGCGAGTTGAGCATCCATGATATAAAATAATGTCTACATTTATAGTATAGGGTCCTATACAATAAATTCAGGCATATCCTATGAGATACAACATAATTATACTATCGTAATTGAATATCCACTTAAAAACGAAATATTTCTTTAACCAAACAAATATCCTTTTAAGTTCTCTATCTTTTAAACACGCTCACTGTTAATGCATTATTTATTTATTGAAAAAGAAAATCATTCTGCAGAGCTAGTTTGACGACTCTACCTGAGTTCCAACTCAATTACAGACACCTTTTAACCGCTTTGACATCATTATATTGTCTGCAAGCAATGCATTATAGTGTATATCTCATTAAAATGTAATATCACTTTGCTTATATGAAACTTTTTTTAGTGATTATTTCGTTTTTGTTGTAATACTTATTTTTGCGTTTTAATACATATTTTGAGCTGTGCATGGTAAATTAACCAAATATATGGATCTAAATGTTTGCATGGTATATGAAGTATAGCTCTTTCTTGAAAGGCGGTCACGACGTCTTCTTCAATTTTTATTCGTTTACTTAAATCCATATACGGCGAAACAAGAAAAAAGCGAAATTAATAATAAGATGCATAAACTTTCGACCGCTCTCGTGACTAAACGATTGGGACCATATTTTCCAAATTGTTGCCCCCCCCCCCACTAATGTTTGGTAATCAAAAATCCAAAGCCATCAAAAAAAGTCATACTTAATCAGAAAAAATATGTTTTTTGTCTCTGATTCTGCACATTAAATAATAGTTTTGAGAACGAGGTTTTGAGAACGGTTTTGAGAACGAGGAAACAGGATTACTAAAACAAAAGTTATTCTGAGTAATGCCGTTTGTTTGGTTCACTGTGAAATTGATACAATTTCTTTTGCGGGTTATTTTTAAATAATTTTTTCATTAAAATGGAGGACTGTTTAACGAGAAATGCGATGAGGCTGTCGTAGATTTATGTGCAGTAACCAGAAAAAAATACCCTCTAAGCAAAGTATAAATTTCAATAATCATATTTTTCCGTTACTTTCCTAAATGCCAGTCTACATTAAGTTTATTAAATACTTAAATATCCGCATAATAACATCTTTTCTAGATATTAGTAATTAAAATGCATGACTCATTTAAATTTTTACTAACTCGAAATTATTTGCCGGATTCCATTTGAATTTTATATTTTGTGATTTAAATTTAAATAGCTTTAAAAAATGTAAAAATATAAAGGTTTAATTTTTTTTAACTAATAATAAATAAAATAATAAAAATTAGAAATTACTAAAAATATTTTTTGCTTGAAATTACCTTTGAATTACCTGTAAGTGAATTTTATTATTGTGGACAAAAACCTCTTAATTAGTTAACAACATCGCGAGTCGTGTCAAAACATACAAAAAGTGAAATTAACATTAAGGGATCTAAATTTTCTGCTGTTTTCCTATCTATTGGGATCATATTTTTGCCCTTCTTTGACCTTGCTACCTTCTTTCATATTTTAACTGTCAAAATTTTTTTATCCACCCTAAACAACGCCTGCTATATTCAAAGAAATTTTTTTCTGTCTGAGTTTGCTAGCACTTAGACGTGATAACTAGCACTAATCTATTGGCATATTCGAGGTTAATTCTTTGAATCAATTAGACTGGAACTTGATACGTAAAAATTCGATTATCGGAGCAAGAGTTATTCGTGTTGATTCTAATGAAAGTTGTCTTCCATGAAAAAGTAATGTAAAAAAGTTTTTAACTGCCTCTGCAACCGTAAAATTTCTCACTACTACATAATGAGCTTTTAGATTTCAGTAGTCTATATATATAAAATGAATGTGTGTCTGTCTGTGTTTGTGTCCTTTATAGACTCCTTAACCATCCGACAAAAGGCGATGAAATTTGCCTCGCAGATAGTTTCAAGCACGAGGAAAGTCACTGTCAACATTAGAACATTCTACGACAAATCGTTCTTGCAGGATGAGCGAAAAACGAAATGGAATTGTCTGATTAGTTAAGCTTTAGCCATTGTTTTAAATTTAGCGATTCAATTTTCACATATTTTAAAGATAACATCGGTGATAATTGCTAAATTATAGCTCTGTTTGAACAAAAATTAGTTTATTGATTGCACGTATTTGAATATTGAATTATTTTATATTTGCTATGTCAGATAAATTCAATGAGCAACATGATGTGGTAACACGCGAGGGCTACTTCACCAAATTTATACTTTAAAAGTTGTCTGATACCAGGTATTTTTTTTAATTATATTTCTTTTAAAACATTTTTCTAAATAACTATTTATTTAAAATCAACGATAATTGAACAGAAAAAAATATTTATGTATTTAAAGGCAAAATTAATGTGAATGTTGTATTTATTTGTTTAGGTGAAACGTAAAAAAATCTCCACATTATTATTGATGCCAATATGCTTAATGATTTTAAATAATAAATGCATATTGAAATAAAAGAAATAAGTTTTGTACTAGAAAGCAAAAGCAATGGAATTAATCTATTTATTTGTCTANGATCGGTGGCGTGCCCAAAATATTGTGTCTCGCGCCATAAATGGCACGCGTGCCATTGGTTCGCCCTCCCTGGTCTAGAAGAACCGTAAGAAATCGTCATATTATCATTGGCGACAATGATGCCTAATTAATGTTGGTAATTTGTTAATTGACATAAGAAACTGATCAAAATTATAGCAAAAATATTGGAGAAAAGATACTTATTCATTTTGATTCGACATATTATTACTGACACTAATGCTTTATTAATACTGATAATATGTATTAATTAAAATAAAATAATATAGGCTATGTGCTAAAAAGCAAAGTTAAAGGAGAAAAGGTTAATAAAAAATTTGCTTAGGAAAACCGTAGAAAATTACTATTTACAAATGATGCTTAATTCATATGTATCCCTGACGGTAGTATGTACTACTGGTGTTATAATAATTGGTGCAATTTTGATAAGAATTCTACAACAGGTTTTCCGTGGTTTCAGAAAATATTTCTCCTGTGGTAGCAGAGATAGTTTATTAATATTTTAATGAATGAGAACAAAAGAACTTTGTTCTTCCACTACTAAATATTTTAATAGTAAGTAAAAGGTTAGATAGAGAAATGGCCATTATTCCAATCTAGGTATAAAATATTGTAATGATATATTTCGTGATGATTAAAACAGAACCAATACTAAGCAGTTAAATACCAATACTTTAGAACGGCCCCTTGAAAAGGATACGTACCGGAGAAAATCATTTGATAATGGTAAATTTTGACTATCATGGTTTGGCCGCCAGTAATAGCATCATGCCAAGTGAGGCTAAATACATTTTATCTTTATTCTAATGGGATGAACTACAAAAAAACAAGTTTTACTTACTTCGATAACGTAAAGCCACCGTAAAGGGCAACAAATAATATTAAATAAAAAAATGAAATTATTTTAGCTGTATTAATTGAAAAACTTAGGGGAAGAAGCAGGTAAGTGACATTTTCAGAATGAAGAAAACAGTTGTATCCGAACTGTTTTATTACCAATTTAATAGAAGACGGGACTAATAATTCTTCGCTTTATTGTTCTTAATTTTAAATAAAGCCTAACTACCTAAAAAATAAAACCTTATTGCCTAATTTGAAATAAAAAATCATACTAGCATACTAAAAGTTTATGTGATTAGTTGTGTTAAGATTTAAAGAAAGGCAAAACCAGTGATTCATTAATTCCCCTAAAATATCCCTTACCTGGTTCTTAAATCAAGCTCTTTAATTGTGTCGGTATATGCTTTTCAGTTATGAGCGAGATTTCGTACTGTTTCTTTATTCTGATTTATTGATTCTTTACTTATTTTTCATTCAACCCGTGCGAAGAACGGGCATTCAGCTAGTAAGTTATAAATATTAGAACCTATGCTTGTTAGTATAAATATAAATTTATGAGAAGGCAATTTTATAATTGNAAAAAAATTTTAAAAAAATCAGGGGTCAATTTATATTCCAGTAATAAAGTTGAACATTCGTTGATCATGAAATATCAATAAATCACAAACAATGAGATAGATATAAATAACTCTGTATCAATTTAATTCTTTCAAAATTTATTTTAATATGTCATATACAATTAATATGCTATAGTATGGAGTTGACATTAAATGAATTGTTCAAAAAATAAAAATGAATAGATCATAAACAGTACATAGCAACGAAAATAAACGGTTAATTTACCCCATATTTAATATCGTACGATGAGCGTTTGAAGAAAGCATTTATTTATATCAGTCTGTTCTTCCATTTTAATACAAAATAAAAATTCATAATAACATCAACAGCTTTATGATACACTCTGTCGTTCAGTATTGTGAACAAAAATCTGTTAACTGCATATAGGCGGAATCCAGCTGTCAATGATTGTGTTTCGTAAGAATGCTTAAAAATTGTTAGTTTACAATGGATGGAATGTGATAAGGAAAATACGTTTAGTGATGATTATTTAAAATTATCCCACTTTTGAGACGGAGAAGTAAAAAAAGTTGACTTAAACATACCTCGAAATGTAATTCGTGCTTACAACGATAAGCTTCGGAAATCAGGGCTAAGACGTTCTATTAATGTAAATGCTATGAAATACATTCGGTTTCATTTTTGAGAGGTAATCGTTGTTTAGAGGTGCGGTCTTTAAAGGAAATTTGAATGTTTTTTAATTGAATGTTGAATTGTACTTGTAAGTATGAAATATTATAATATGGTGTTGAATTAAAAAGAATATAAGATAATAATTGAGTTTTAAGGTATCTGACTGAAGTGAAAATATACAATTTCGATGTAAGTTTCGAATGTTTTTACTGTCTATCTATTTATGAACTTCTCTTCATTAGCTTTTTAAGTATCCTTAAATTGAAAATTAATGTTATGATTTCCAATAAATTTTTTTTTTATGTAAAATTAATTGTTTCAGTATTTTTTGACAGTTACATACTTTTAATGCATTTTCATAGAGTAACATTGATTTTGAGAAAATCTCTTTACACCAACATAGAATATTTTTTTTTAATGGAATTATCTGAAACTTCGCATACAGATGTTATATAATGTGAACAATGTTTTGAATTAAAAGCTAATTCTTAAGTTTAAATTTATTATTTTTATCCTGCTTTTAAGTAGTAATGTTTAAAGAATCAATATTGAACGATAGTTATTTTTATTTCATTAAATATTTGAAATTTCTTAAAGATTTTAGTTCAAAACATAGGTAACCATATTATTGATCGGGAAGAAATTTTTTTGTCGATATTTATGAATTATTTTTTTGTTGTAGAGTTGCAAATCATAAATAAAATGATTGTAGTTTTTATACTCAAATTTGCATTCATTTTGAAAAATATTTTATAGAATTTTAAAGTTTACTTCAGATTTATAATTTCAGGATCCCTCTTACCGAAAATAAAACTAAAATTTTACTTAATGCTGTTTTTTATTTTTTAAAAAAAATGTGTCTAACCCAGTCGGACACCTTATGAATGCATTAGTTCTTATTAAAAATTTGAACAAACGTAAAGCTCAATAGAGTGACATAAGAATATTGTGCCATTAAAATTGAGTATTGAACTATAAGAAGTTAATAAAATAGTTTAGTGTCATTTTCTACTGAGGAATGTAATATATTATAATTGAGTGCTATTTTATTCTTGTAAGAATGTAATATTGTAATTGTAGATTAAAATATTCTAGAAGTCTAAGAATGTAATATCATAATCGGGAAGTGAATTAGAAGAGTATTATTGAGTATTGCTTTGAAGACTGTACTCAAACTCAATAGAAGTATGGGACATAAAAGACATAAGACTTAACGGAAATATAAACTATTACGGTCAATAAAGTGACATAAGATTATTGAGCAATTAAATTGAGTATTGAATAATCGGATTATAATACTATTATTATAATTAAGTATTGAATATTATAAATATAATATAGGTGAGAATTTGAACTACAATAAATTAATATTATAATTGAGTGTTAAATTGTTACGTAAATTAAATTGATACGTAAGAATGTAATATTATAATTGTGTTATTGAATTATAAGAAATATTACACTTGAGTATTCATTTTTAAGAATGTAATAGTTCTTAATATAAATGTGAGACATAAGTGACATAAGGAGCAACTCAAACGTACTCAATAAAGTGACGTAAGCATACTGGGTCATTGTAACTGAGTATCGAGTTATAACAATTTATTATTATAATTGTGTTAAATTATACTTGTAACGTAAGAATGTAATACTATAATTGGTTATTGAATTATAACAAATACCATATTTGAGTTTTAATTTTCCATATTAGTTCTTAACAGGAACATGAGACATAAGACTCAATAGAGTCACATAAGAATACTGGATCATTATAATTGAGCAAAAAAAGAAAATGCAACAATATTATTATTATTAAGTCTTGCATTTCATAAATGTAATATTTTATTATTGAGAATTATGAATATGAAATAACTATAAAAGGTATTCAATTATAAGGAGATAATATAATTATAAGAATTGGATTCTGAATTCATTTCTCTTTAAGAAAACATTCATAAGTTTAAAAAAGCCGTGGAAGTTTTTGTATATTGTCTTTTTTCTTGTACTTTAATTAAAACTTTTAGGATAAACAAGAGAAGCGAAAATAGATCTCTTAAACTGTATTTTGTTGGTGTAAATATTTTCAATCATGTTGTAATTTAACATACGTTATTGTTTAGAATTATTTTACAAATAATAATATTACGCAAAAAATTAAAATAAATTTAATAAGATATTTCGCGCATCTTTCCTTGGGAGACAGGAAAATGAGATAAATGCTGTCATATAATAATAGATAGGTTATTTCTTCCAATTATTTCTCAATGTGAAGTTGATGAAATTATAGAATGTTATTGTCTTATTTATCGTTGTCTTCATTCAATAGAATAGATTTTCTATTATTTATATCCTTTTCATGCATGTATTTTATGATTATTATGCATAAGATATGAATTATTGTGGAACCTAAAAAAAACTGATGATTCAATGCTATTGGAACTTTTTAGTGGTTGCAATATACAAAAACTATTGTTGAAAGATTTGAGTTTCCACAAAATGATGAAAGGCTTTTAGTTACTTTTATATTATTAATGTTATCAATAGGAAAAAGACCAAAATTGTTATTGCTAAAATTGTTATTGTTGTATAAAATTTTAAGTATAACTGTTTTAATAGTTATGTTTTTGATAAGCAAAGAAATATTTAATATTTTTTTGAATTTTTGATATTATTTGTACTATTTACGATTATTTTTTCATGGCTCTTTTTGACAAGTTAAATCTAAAGTTAAATCAAGTTAAATTAAGTTAAATCTAAAACATTTTCAGAACTGCCTTCAAAAGAAAGAAAAAAGTGCATTTTTTAAAATTTCCATATGAGAATACACATTAAAAAAAGGCTATTTAAAAAAAATCAAATTACAATTTTATTTATTTTATGCGTTTTTCAGTCATGTATCGTGTTAAGAATTTTTTTACTTATTTATAATGTAACCTATATAGTTAAAAAGTATGTAGCACAAAGAAACATAATATCGGGCAAATGAGCTGAAACTTAAATATGGTGGACCAAAACATCCATCTGTGTTTGTAGCAAATCTGTACCATTTTATGCATCAAATTTGCGCTGATTTTTCTGATAGTGCAATAGTGCCTTTTAATGAACTTGACGGGATCATAAATTTTGGGACTGATAGAGAATGCCCATGAATGCCATCGACGTAACCACATTGTGAAAAAGGGTTTCATAATATTGAGCAAAAATTTTCCAAAATAGCTCCGAAACAAATAAATCGTATTTCCCGGTGCATAAACCAGATTTTAAAACACCCCAAAAAATTTTAAAAAATCAGGGGTCAATTTATATTCCAGTAATAAAGTTGAACATTCGTTGATCATGAAATATCAATAAATCACAAACAATGAGATAGATATAAATAACTCTGTGTCAATTTAATTCTTTCAAAATTTATTTTAATATGTCATATACAATTAGTATGCTATATATATGCTTATTTAATATGTTATATACGATAAATTATTCAAGAGTATTTCAAAAAATATTATAAAACTAAAACTTTTAAAACATACCATAAAGATAAAAATTTAAAGATTCCAGAATATCAGATGTAGGGCCGGGATAGCCTAGTTGGCAGGACACTGGGCCCATGTCCAAGATTTCGTGGGTTCGATCCCAGGCCGGCCGAAAACTCCCCGTGTAATAAAATGGTGACTGACGCTGATTAAATCTGTCGAGTCTCGAAGTCCTCCATGTTCCCATAACAAATCAATACCTCTGGGGGTGCTGATCCGGGAGTTCCCTTGTCTTCTGGATTGGTTCAAAATTACAAGGCTACGAAGTTGAACATTAGTAGTATTAAACCCGCAGTTCAACGACGGATATGAAATAGAATATCAGATGTGTCGGAACCAATAACGTTAGCAATGTCGTCACACAGACAATGAATTGAATGGAAAATTTTGTAGACTTCATATCTTATTTTTCTTTTTTTATTTCAGAAATTTTTATGTTTGGTTTTTTTTAGTTATCGACTTATACACCCGTCATATCAGAATCTTGCTGTCTCGTATTCAAAGATAGGGGGTCGATTTATACACCGGGATATACGGAATTTGAAAATCCCTTGTATTCAAAACACCCATCTTATTTTTCTTTTTTTATTTCAGAAATTTTTATGTTTGGTTTTTTTTTAGTTATCGACTTATACACCCGTCATATCAGAATCTTGCTGTCTCGTATTCAAAGATAGGGGGTCGATTTATACACCGGGATATACGGAATTTGAAAATCCCTTGTATTCAAAACACCCATTTCTGAGCAAAATGCATAGCCTCAAAAGTTAATTGGAGGAAGAAATGTTATTCCTGATGTTATTATATGGATGTTATTATATGATGTTATTATATTCCTGTCATTATATGGAGAGAGAAGTTATTCCTGATGATTATTTCTCCGAGATAGTTGTTAAGATACTCTAACCACTCCATCCACCGCTGCAATCACGAATTTTAATGGTACAAAGGGTGACAATTTGGAAAATGTGATTCCGATAGCTTAGTCAGGTGGTAAATTTAATTGCTTATTTCACTACATAGAAACTTTTATGAGAATGGAATGTATGACACGATGTGTCATTGCTTCGACACCTGTATAAAGCTTCCTAATTCTCCCTGAACTGGTGTGTACACGCTGGGTCCTTAGTTCGAATCCTGCAGGCAGTGAACGAACATTTCTCCCTCCGTGTCACTTTTGAAACAATGCATTTAGCTCAAAAATGAGTAGGGTAAACTAACCAGTGAAAGAACACTTAAGTTTCGCTTGCCTTTTAAAAAATCATATTAATTTCAAAATTCGTAATTTTAGTTAAATGACAGTGTCAACAAATTTGTTACTAACTGCAAATTATGTAAAAAAAATTGTAGGGAACTTACATAGTATTGTTTTAAAGTTTTGGATAATAAAACGTAACTTCAATAACTATATTTTAAATTCTCTTTTTCACAGTGAGAAAAATAAAACTATTACATGCAATTAATTCCACTTCAAACATATAAATACAAATACTCACCTTACAATTTTTTCAAAGAAACAATGTGTTGCAGAGATAATAACAAATTCAAAAATTTTTCCAGAGAAGTCTATTTGACCAGGTAATCCAAAACATTGCTAGATGACTTCCTATTGTTTGGCAGTAAGCTATTGTTACCAATCAAATTCTTATTTTTAATCAATATATATGAAATGTTCCCTCACCGGGTAGTGTTCCATCACTGGTTGGTTTACCCTATATGCTGTTTCAATTTTGAATACATGGGATTTTCTAATTGATTCTTTTTGTTTCGGAGCTATTTTGATACATTTTTGCTCAATTTTGAGAAAGTTCATGAGTTTGAAAAAGTGACATGCAATATATAGACATTCGAATATTAATTGCTGTAATAAAAGTTTTTAAATCTGTAACTAACATCGACTAAAATAAGAACAAAAACTCGAATTTTTCAGTGCGCATCATATATGCTGTTTCAGATGTGATGATAAAAATAAATAAAAACTACCATTGTTTACCATACCGGATTTAATATTCAAAATTAGAAGGCTAGAAATCATTTTAAAACTATAAATATCCATTTTTAGAGAAAAGTATCTATTTTCATGGGAAAGTAGCTAAGAGATTTGTTTCATGTATGCATCATATTTCGTAGGCGAAATTATCCTTTTTTTAGTGAAAAATCTCTTTTTGACATTAGATAGTAATTAATACAATAATTTTCTGTGTGAATCATATTTTGTAGATGAAATTATCCTTTTTTTGTGATAAGTATCCGTTTTCCATTCGAAAGTAATTAATACTAGTGATACTATTTTTTTTTTTCGGTGAGCATTATTTTTTTTTTAAATTCACATATTTATTTCTGTTTATTTTGAATAAATTTAATAGTAATGGCACAATTGTTTTGTGTGCAATATATCTGATATGACCGCAGATTATTGCCATTGTCTCAAAATAGCACAAACTTAAGTGTTTTCAATAAATACAACCTCTTAAATTCATCCTTGAAAACTAATAGTTAAAGTTTAAAGGACAAGTAAGTTAAGCCTTATGACAATTTCCTTCTCAACCAATGATCAGCAATTATGTCGGTTGCCATGTAAATCTATAGAAATGTCCTTGCTTAGTATGATGAATCTTTCAGATTTAGTTTTCCTAGTTTTCAGAAAGCATCGTCCCATGTCAAAGGGCAGATTTATACTGACGTGTGCGGCTGCACGCATTATAATTCTTTTGTCTTTTCCATTAATTCGTCTGTTGCGATTCGTGTGTATCAGATGGAAACTCGTTAGCGTGTCGATCTAAAACAAAGAATGGTTTTTGGGTTATTCGAAAATTATAAATTGATAAACGGAAATAAGAATCATATATTTTTTTTTCTGGATGTTTAGGCAATATTTTACTTTCTTTGCAAAAGGGAAAATAAACCTGTTTTTCCCCGTTTCGTTTTAGGTTATTTAAAAACGTTTTTAATTGGTAATTTAATGCCTGCGAAGTTTGAATCGTTTTTTGTAATCATTTTAAAAAAAGATATGCATTATGTTTATTGAGTGATTGTAAGTAGTAAAATACCCACATTTATATCACAAATCAATACTTCCAACTACATTGCAAAGTTTTAATAAACTATCTTTTGTGTATGTGAGGGTAGAATCTTGCAATCGAAGTTTTGAACACTTTCCAACTAGCTAGAGTACTGGCTATAGCCGAATTGTTGCTCCGTGCCTCATGGAAATGCGAATTTCAATTGTTTATTGACCGCTACAAGTAGAAGTTATCTCCATGCATTATTACGAATGGGAATTAATTGTCACTCGAAATTTCGGTCATATTCCGACGAGCTAAAATGCTCAAATATCAACTGCTGCTTTGTTTTTAGAGTAAATTTAAGCTTAAATTTTATCTAAATTTTATCTTATATTCTCACGAATAAAATTTTAGATCGATTACAGAGATAAACAAACTGAGAGGCACAGAAATAAATAGAAAGCAGCAAAATAAAATTTAAAAAATTTAAAACTACTTCCTTCAACTAGACTTTAAAGAAATTTTTTTCCAAATCTAAAAAATTAAAATGAAAAAAAAAAATTTAAAACGAATGGTATGTTTCTTTCGTAATAAATTCCCCTCTCCACCGAAAATTTCCGTTGTGCCATATCAAAGCAATTCTCTCTTAATTTTTTGTTTTATGTCTGACAAAAATGATATTATTTTCTCCCTTTTTACAGTCAAAAAAAATTTTCATTTTATTTTACCACTTTGTCTTTTTTTAATTTTATGATAGTTTGTAACTTTTTCAACAATTAGAACTTATATTGGCTCTAGGTATAGAGTTCCAGTTGAAAATGAGCTCTCTAGTTATTCGGAAAGTTGTCAGAATTTTGATTGGCGATAAAATCAGTATGTAGCCGTTAAGAAACGATTGAAACTTGTATTTTAATCTGGTTCATAGCTACAGATGAACCTGAGAACAATATTTAGCCTGAAAGAGATCAGAATTTTAACTGCTGATAAAATAGAAGATAAAGTGTTGCCAGGAAACGAAACGATTGTAACTTGCATTGCTGTCAGTTCGAAAGCTAATTTGTCGAAAAGTGATCAAAATGTTGGTTGTAAGATTTCATTTTCACAGACTCAAAAGCAAATTAACCAAAATACTCGAAAAAAAAAGGAAAAAGTTCAAATTTTTTCGAGTTTACGAGCTTTTTCAAACTAATGCCTTTACTAATAAAATTTACTCTTTTCACAGCTTGATAAAGCACTCGTGTAATTTAATTTTAAAAGCTGAGACGGAATAAAAAAGATAAAATTATAGAATTTAAATATTTCATCTTATTTCGAGTCGTTTTGAGTTCAAACACGTCCTCATTCATCTCTAACAATCCGCAATTCACATTTGTCACCTTTAGAAGTCAAACAAATTTTAATACATTACGAACGAGCACAGATTACACTTTAGTATCATAAACACGATTTTTAAACCTGAATAAATAGAATCAGGTGCAGAAAATTGAAAAAAAAATTTGTTCGTTGGAGAGACATAAAAATATTCAAATAATCTCTGCCTACTTAATATACTAAAGCTGAGCAAGATTTAGAGAATCAAGGCTGTTCTTTTTTCCTTAAATTTCAAATGCAGAAAATTGCTACTTGCATGTTTTCCATAAGAAATCTAATAAAACCAGCTTTTAAATTGATCACGACTTATAAAATTATTAATTATCTTAAAAGCATTTTTGCTTATTCTCTTTTATTGAAAAAATTACATTGATAAATAGAAAATATTTTGTGTAATCGATTTTAAAAATGGGAAATTTCCCGATATTATTTTTAATGTAATATTTCATTATCATGTCAAATAATACTGTATATGGAGGTTTTCCTTAAAAAATTAAAACTTCGATTTATTTGTTCGCATACTTTCTAAAAGCAATTTAATAAAATTAAATTGCTCCCAAATTATAATTTACTATCTAAAAATGACGTGGTTTACTTTATTTAAATTTTTTTTTTTTAATGTAAATCAGAAGATGCTTTTGCCATCGATTTCTGGTAAATATTTTGGAATTGTTTTCTAATTTAATATTTTACTGACGAGTAAAATAATTCTACCTATTAAGATAACTTTTTAAATTTAAAAAAAAAAAAGATTCTTTTCAACAGTTTCGAATCTTATTTTATATTGTGAAAAAGTTTCAGCACTCTGAATTTAATATTTTCTAAGAAAATGTGCCTCAAACATTAACACTTTAGCATCGAAGCTGCTGGATTGAATCAACTGCACTGATAATAAAATACTAACAAATCTTTATTGGATGTAAACTGTATCTGAATCGTTCACTTAAAACTACAATTTAAGCGTTGCACTTTTTAAAAATATTGTTTCACTCAATATTTGCTGATAGAGTTATAATGTAATTATTTGCTTTTTATCTTTAATTTTTAGACTCTAGGACAGAGAGATGTCTCAAATAAAGAATTACCCGAATACCCCTCAAGTAAATTTACCTCAGCCGCATGTGACCATTCCAGACACAAGATCTGACAAATGCCGATGCTCGGGTTGTGAGTATGTTTTATTTAATGCTTCTGTATTCTACCTTCATATTTGTAGAGTTTTTCTAGAAGTAAACAAGACATTTAATAGCAAATGTTTTGAAAAAAAAAACTTTGCTTGTCAGGAGTTTAAGTTAAAATTTTTTAAAAAAATGTCTACATTAAGGTAGGTTTGGTTTTTTTTTTTTTTTTTAATAATAAAAACTGTTCTAAAGAAACCTTAAATATTTTTCATTTCTGGTTGAAAAAGAAAACTTGTATTTCACTTCGTAAATTTGTAATTTTAAATTTAACTTTGAAGAAGAAAAAAAAACTGTTTCGTGAAACAAAATATTAAAATCATAAACTAATTAAAAATTTGATTATCGAAATAGAATCAATATTATTTAAATATTTGTAGAACCGTGGCATACATATTGGTTCCAAGATTCGTCAGCAGTAGACAAGGAATATTTTTAAAGTCAGCATTGTTAATCAAAATGAATTTCAAAAAGGATCGAAAGAAATTCCTCATAGATCGGTTCGGGAGTAAATGATCTAATTTTCTAATGATCTAGTTTTCTAATGATCTAGTTTTCTAATGATCTAGTTTTCTAGTTCTTTATTTACACTCTTTTGCATGGTGATTATAACTCCCAATTTTTCGTCTAGACGTATAAAGTTCAAACCCATACAAATCCAATGGTTAGCAATTTGGCAATCGCAATATTTCGATGGCAAATTATGATCAGAAATGGATAAGTTTAAAAGTTGTCAAAAATTTTAAAAACCGCCACTAAATACGTGACAGATTGATTGTCTTACTAGGCTTGTTTATTTAATAGTTCAAGATGTGTTAGTGATTGATGCCGAAATTGCGCGCATAAACTAACATCGTTCTATCTCGTTAAAAAAAAATTGAATTTAACGACGACTACAGCTATAAAATTGTTTAAATTTTTATTAAAGTTCAAACTCGATTTCGGCCTTTTTGTCAAATTTATCAAATGCCAGAAATTCAGTTTAAAAAAAAAAAATTAAGTTCAAAATTGCTACTTTTTTGCGAAGAGCTGTTACGAATTCTAATATTGCAGATTTGATAATAGCAACATAATGAACTGGACAGCCAGTTCTGTTCTGATGACCAAAACGGTAAATTAACATAACCAAGAAATGACCCAACAAAGCTCAAAATATTGTTCAACAGCGAAAGCGCGTTGTTCGTTCGTGAAGCTCGCCATTTTCAATGACTCTGGTTCATCTGCCTTTTGACTTTCTTATCTCGGTTTTTTTTTTTTCGTTGGCAACATTTTATAACACAAAAGGTGCTTGATGTAAATTTTGGGATACTCTTTTTAATAAAAAGATGTTATTTTCTTCCATTCGGAAGTAAACTTTCTTTCTTTTAAAAGTTAAATCCATATAATTGCACAAACTCCTTTTTTTTATTAGTATAATTAAATACCTGTAATCTGAATGGATACAAGGTAACAAAGATTAGTGCTATTTTTCTTATTGGAATCACATACCTAGACTAGAGATAAATTAAAGAGGAAAGTGATTTAAAAATTTCGGACATTCCGCAGTGAATCGGCAGAAAATCTGATTTATTTTATTTCCTACCTTGAATCGTTCGAGTTGTACAAATTATTTTTTATACTTCCTCTTTCTTTCAAAGATGAAAATTTCTTATTAAAATATGTTCACTATATGTGCTAGTAGTCGAAATCACAGACAAAAAAATTTTATCGTTGCTTTTCTTTTTTATGATTTATTTGTTGAGTTGCAATTTAACATTTAGTTGAATTGAATTGAAAGTATGGTTTAATCACACCAAGTCAAAAAAGGACATGCTGCGCCAAACATGCGGTTTTTTTGAGCATTTAGTTAGCAATATAATATTTCTTTGTTAGCTGTTAATTGTATGACTAGTTTTAACACGCTTTTTATTTCATTCACTTGTAAAACGCATTTTTCTCCAGGTAGCAACAAAAATAAAGAACGAAAAACAGCTGTCATTTAAAATTATAATAAATAAATTTTATTATAATTTTATGATTCGGTAAATTTATTTTTTATTTTAAATAAATTTTATTATTTATTTTAGTCAAGTGTTATTATTTATTTTTAATAAATTTTATTATTTAGTAAATTTTATTATTTATTTTAAATAAAGCGAAATCAGTTGAATAGTTCCTAAGATATATAATTTTAAATATACGACTTTTTTAAAACTCGATTTCTCAGGAGCTATTTAACCGATTTCGTTCAAACTTTGTATTCTGCCATGTAAAATTAAGTTCTTTAAAATTACGTAAAAAACTTTATACCTTACTGCTCAAATTTTTTCGACTATTTTAATAGTAAAAAAGTAAATATGTACTAATAATATGATTAAATAATAAAGGATTAAATAATAAAAAATATGTACTGAAAGTTAATTTTTGTATGAAGTTATCTTTGGATAAAAGAATTTTATATTTGTGAGCAAGAATTATATAATTATATTAAACAGCAAATTATGATATAGCGAAATACGCAAAATAAAAATAATAATAATAAAAATAGTAAATAAATAAATGAAATTTACATTAAGTAGTCAAAACTTTGGACCGCTCTCCTGATCAAACTATTGGGACCATATTTCGCAGATTGAGGCTACCCCTACATTTTTGGAATCTGGAATCCAAATCAGTAAAGAAATGGTATGTTTATTCAGGGAAAGTACGTTTTTGTGTCTGACTTCGTTATTTAAAATATTGTCTGCACTTATTAATTATCATATTTGAGATCACTCCCTAAAGCATTAAGATTGAGTCCTAGAAGGTGAAAGTCCAATCATTAGATCAAAAGTTATTCAGGATGGTCCGTTTTTTTTCCCGCACTGTACATCTAGCAGCAGCTTAACAGCTTTAAACTATACAGTAAAGATAGTTAGCTGAACTATAGCAACATCTCCTAGAAGAGAGAACGCCTTAGCACAGATCAAACTAGTAGTCCGATGTAACGAACATAAACTGCGCAGAGAAGTAATTAAGAAATATATCACTACATTTGAGCTACTGCTTTTGCAAGTTGCGCAGTGGGAATTTTATGTAGGATGTCATTATGTTTGGAGTACTAAAGGATAAAATTTCTTGTTTTTTGGTAACCAGTGCTGTGGCCTTCTCTCTTCTAGAAAGTATTGACTGTAGGGGAAATTTATGTCACACCGTGACGTATATGACATCTCGCAAGTAAGAGCTGAGCAATCCAGTTACCACAAAACATCCTCGGTTCTCTACAGTTTGTGCAAAACCAACGGACACACTGTAAAAAATTCTGGATCAATTTATGGTAGAAAGTGCTGGCATGCATCATTCGTGAAATCCCTTCTTACCGTAAAATATTATACCATAATATTTATTTAATTAGAGTGATTCAGTGATTTTACAGTATTGCTGTAAAACTTACGGTATATCGGACTTTCTGTTCCAGTAAAAGTGGATTTTACGGTAAAAAGTAACCAGCACTATGAGTGCCGGCATTTTTTTAAAATCATAATTTGATCTGTAATTCTTCACAGTGTGGGATGTTACTTGAGAAAGCAAAATCTCTCTAATAGAGTTGCATTTATACGCTGCCATCAGTTTCTCAACTGCTTCAGGAGTTCCTTTGTCTTCTGGTCGAATCAAATGAAAATTACGAATTTTCCAATGTTCATATTTGCAACAATGAAATTCAGTAAACACACATTATTTGATACTAGTTTGAGTTATGTTATATATGGAAATCTTGATTAGCTTTTTTAGAATTTGTGTCATTCTAAAACCGTACAAACAAAATAAGAAAAGGTGAATGAACTTTTAAAAAAGTGCTGAGACAATTTTATATAACTTTTTTTTTCAAATGATTTTGTTCTTTTTAGGGTTACCTTTTGTTTCAGTTGGAATATGTGCAATTCTTTTTCTGATTCTCGTTACAACTTATGGTGGAGCAAAATTATTTCCAGTTTCTATAAATATATATGCTGGGCTTGTTCCTATAGTTAAAAAAGGTAATGTACTACATATAGAAAGCAAATACACGCATTTACTTGTTTTTTTTTCCCTTTTTAATTCTCAATCATTTTCGAAGTTTTAATTTAACTGCTTTCGCTAATCCACATTTTTAATTTACAATTTACACAATGCAAACAAAAGCTATTCAACTTAGTGACTGTGTGATAAAATTAGATTCATGCCATTATATTGTATTCGCAGTTCGTTTATCGCGATTAAGTCATGACACAAATCGTCAACTTTAACAAGCATTAAGTTTGAAATTAAAATATTTCTTTTTATTGTAATAATATGTTTTATGTGTCAAAGTTTTTAATCTTTTTCCTGGCCTTTTTCACTAAGTATTTTTTTTTCTTTTTGGAAATCTTCATTATATTGTAAAGAAAATCGTTATTTATCGTCTTCTGATGAGATTATTTTATCAAAGACATGATAAGTACCATATTTTAATTCGATTCCTTTGATCCCAGGAAGGATTAGAGAAAAAATTATATTACTGTAAAGAGAATCGTTATTTTATCGTTTTCTGACGAAACTATTTCACCAAAGACATGAAAAGTACCATATTTTTAAGTCGATTCCTTGATCCCAGTTGTTGTTTGTTGTTGTTTTCATGCTAGAATATTTAAAAACAGTTCTGCTGTGCATTAGGCTTGGTTACCATTAAAATTTATATGTTGTACAAGATAATTTTGAAAGGTGGCCAAGCTGGTAGCCAAAAACGGCTAGCTTTTAATATCAATCAAATATAAAAATATTTGTTTTTTCGAAATTCATTATTTACTTACCTTAGCTTTTTGAATGAATTCATCTCTAGTTACGTGTATTGATATCGAATATGTATATTTTGAAATCTAATTGCATTCATTTCAAACTTTATTTCATAAATCTAGGATTTCTGCAAGTCCTACCATTTGTGGTCGAATCAAACAAGAGTATTCCAGATTCCCATGTTATAAAACTACCTCTTCAAAAAGCAGAATTAACAGAATATATTCAAATAATTGATGGCCTGCTAAAAGGTAATATAAAACATTACATAAAAACGCGTTACGTAATATTACGTTATATGCTAAAAACTAGCTCTATAACTATTACTGTATGCATCAATTGATTAATACAAATTTAAAATGTATTTACCATAATATAGTCCATAGAAATTAAGGCATTTTATGAGTTTAGATAAAAGAATGATTTCTTTTTATTAATGCTGAGTTATTTATTTCGGGAAACAAAAGGTGAATTTTAGAAATATAAAATATTAAACATTAAACGAGTTTTTCATTATTATTCATTGACATTATTATTTTTTAATATATATATATATATATAAATTAACAGGGCTACATCCCGGTTATCATTAGTATTTTCAGATTTAATAATGCAGTCAAAAGCCATAATACGTTATAAAAAGATTTATTTAAAGATATGCTGGTGGTTATAACAGTTCACATCCCCACTCCGCAAAGGAGGAGGTGTGGACAAAACTACGGATGGTTCTGGCAGATGTTTATTGGAACACGTTATTCAGCAAGAGACATGCGAAAGCAATCGCCCCCGCATTAAATACTTACAGATGTTGATGTAATTAGGTTCCAGTCGTATATATCTTTGTAACTCTACGCATTATGGAAAATCATTTAATGCTTCCTAATATGGAAGTGAAAGAGGGACAGGATTCTAAAAATAACTCCTCCTTTGAAATATAAATCTAATTATTATTCAATNTATATATATATATATATTAAGAATATATACATTAAGAAAACTTAACTGCTCATAAGCTGCAAGTAAATAGAGCTCATAAAATAAGTTCAAAAGTAGAGAAAACATGTAAAAAATTACAGAACAATGAAAAAGGGGAATGTTACAGCGAAATGAAAACATATTTTAATTTTAATGATTTGTTTTTTTAAAACTAGCTAAATAACCGTTCTTCGCACGGGAATATTTAAAAACAAATAGAAAACCATAACAATAAATCAGTATTGAGAAACACAACGAAATCATGAAATCAAACTTAAAATCATATACCGACACAATTAAGGAACTTAGAGGAACCAAATAAGTGATATTTTTAGGGGAATTAATGAATCAGAATTAATGAGATAAAAAAAAAGTGGTTGAATAAATACGGGTATGTTTAATGAATGTAACAGAACTGTTTTTGCTTTCACTTAAATTTCAACATAACTAATTACATCAGTTTTCAGTATGCTTGCATGATTTTTATTTCAAATTAGGTCGTGGTAAATAAATAAAAATAAAGAAATATTTGTCCCGCTTTCTAATAAATTGGTAATAAAGTAGTTCAAATGCAACTTTTTTTTTAGTTCTGAAAATGCCACTAACCTGTTTCTTCCTACTAAGTTTTTCAATTAATGTAGTTAAAATAATTTCAATTTTTTAATTTAATGTCAAATGTTGTTTTCTTTCGTGGCTTTATGTTATTGAAGTAAGCAAAGCTCGTTGTTTGTAATTCATACTATTGAATAAAGATAAAATGTTTTTAAAATCTCTTGGCATAATGCTATTGCTCACAGCCGATTCATGATAGTTAAAATTCCCTTTAAATTAAGCACTTAATAACAGAACACCTATTCCAAAGTATAGGTATTAAAACTGCTTGGTGCAGTTTTAAAAATCACCAAATATATCAATATAATATTTTATACCTATATAAGTATATTTGGTACATATTATATAACTCTTCAACATTTGAGTTTATGCATATTTATCAGTGGCAACCAACGAAAGCTGAATTTCTTTAAAAAAATATACATTCGAACTTCATAAGGATTTTGGAGTCCGACCATTTCTCTATCTGATTTTTAATTTACTGTTAAAATATTTATAAGTTGCGGTGGAAATTTTTTTTATTTATTTCTAATTCTTTAAAATATTAATACACTGGATGTTAATACAGCTGGAAAAAATACTTTCTGAAACTATGGAAAAACTGTAGTAGAATTCTTATCAGAACCAATTCGCCAATTACCATAATACCAGCAGTACATATTACCGTCGGTGATACATATGAATTAAGCGTCATCTGTGAATGGCGATATTTTAATGTTTTCTTAAGCGAATTTCCCATTAATCTTTCTCCCAAGGGCTTGACTTTTTAGCACATAGCTTATTTTATATTATTTCAATTAATACACATTATCAATATTAGTTGAGCATTAGTGTCAATATTAATATGCAGATTTTTTACAGTTACCCAAAGTTTCTCCTTATTTTTTCTTTTTAGTACAGAAATTACTTTTTTTTTATTTCAATTAATACGTATTTCCAACATTAATTAAGCATCATTGTCGTCAGTGATAGTAAGACGACTTCTTACGGTTTTTCAAGACAAATAAATTCCTTTACTCCATTTCTTTTTCTTTCTAGAACATAACTTATTTCTTTTATTTCAATATCCATATATTACATTAATTAATTAAGCATAATTGATGTAATTAAGCCTCATTGGTGCATTATGTTTCTCCTTAACGAATTAGTACCACTTTCCCATTAACACGTTGAATGCCACGCTAATTTTACATGGTTTGCCTGTCTGACCGAAATGATTTTCCAGTATGCGTTGCATATTTTGATGAAATATTATTTACAACAAAATAGTTAATTTTTTTAATCATTCGTGACACATTTAATTCACTGATGTCACCGTTGACCCCGTGGTGCTACGAACAAACTTAGTGCCGGTCACCGTTGACCCCCATGGCATTCAAGGTGTTAATTTTTGCTTTTGAATACACAAATATTTTTTTAAAATTCCATTACTGTTGGTTTTAAATAAGTAATTATTTAAAAACACGTTTAAAATAATTAATATAAATAAAATTAAAGCACGTGGTATCAGACAAAGTGTAAATTTTGTGACGTAGACCACGCGTTCTACCACGTAATGTTCATTGAATTCATCTGGCATAGCGAATATAAAATAAATAAATATTTAAATACGCGCAATAAACTATTTTTTGATCAAACGAAGCTATAAGCTAGCAATTATCACTGATGTTATCTTTAAAATATGTGAAAATTGATTCATTAAATTTAAAACAATGGCTAACGCTTAACCAATCAGAAATTACCATTAGGTTTTTCGCTCATCCAGCTAGAACGATTTATAGTAGAGTGTTCTAATGTTGACAGTGACCTTCCTCGTCCCTGAAACTATCTGTATGCCAAATTTCATCGTTTTCTGTCAGATGGCTTAGGAGTCTATAAAGGACATACACACACAGACATATTACATTCATTTTTATATAGATAGATAGGAAATTACAATTTAATACTTTCCGAAAGAGAATATATATTTCTTTTTATTCATCTAATTGGATACCTGCAAGTGACGTCATTATAGATAAATCGTAGCATTTGTCGATTCGGAAGCCATTCAGGTTTGACACACACTCGTGACGTCGCTAACAGGTATCCAATTAAATCTGATTTAAATCATATGGTTAGGCATGATCACTTCACTTCTTCTCGAGTTATGAGTACATTACTGAGATACAAAGATTTTTGATTGGATAAGTATTACCCGCTATCGAAGAGAGTATTTTTCATTTTTTTAAAAAAAAAACATAAGATTATCATATTTTCCCTTTGTTAATCCCGTTTATCAAACTGGTAGCATTATTAATCTTGCTTGATATTGATTTATATTTTTCCCTTTCAGGTTATCCAGAAAAGCATGAAGAGCCCTACAGGAACTGCTGGCTTCAAAATCCATCTATTGATCACCCGTGTTTTTACGATCGATCTTGGATAACTGAAATATGCTCGAGAAACAACAGTTATGGTTATGATTTATACAGAGGAGAATACAGTCCTTGTTTTCTCCTGAAATTTAATGACGTAATATTTTACAATCCTCTTCTAGCATATTTCTTTCTTTTCTTTTTTTAATGTTTGAATTACTGAAAGTTCTAAAGGACCTTGTCGTTCATTCTTATTTTGCATTGTTTATTCATATTTCCTGCTAAGTCAAATTTTGTCCAAGGAAAAAAGTCTTTTTGTTAAATTTTGATTTGTTTTATTAGTCATTACTTATTTATTTATTTGTATTATGTATTGTACAAATCGCAAAAATAATAACAATAATAATAATCAAATCGAAGAACAATTAACACATTAGTAAAGAATTAGTTTTTTTTTCTTCTTATTTAAGGCTTTAATGAAGGCCTTCAAAAAATTTTAACTATCATCTTCTCTTCGGATAATATTGCTCAATACAACGTGTCAGTATTTATATAGTATTTGTCAGTTATATAGTATATGTATTTTGAATTTTAGGGGGACATTTCATTATCGTGATCTGTTGCGCCAACTACAATCGCCAAGTTGCCAAATAGATTTTAAACTTGCAAATTTAAAAAAAAAAAACATGTAGATGTTTACCTGGGGGTGGTTACGAGCTATACCTTTCGAGTTGGTCCCTTTCTGTGATGTTTTTTTTAAGTTTATCGCGGGCCGCTGCCCGGAAGTTTCCAAGACTTGACGATTATTCTGCCGCAGATCAGGATATGGAAATCTCCCCAATTTTAGGGTAAATAGTCAATATTTCTAAATAAATCCTTAAAAATAGAAAAAAGATGAGGTCCGGCATCAATGTATAGGTATAGAATAACATGGAAGTTTAGCTTTCCATCATTGTACCATATCATGCAGTCGAGAGTTGATGGAGAAAAGTTAAAAGTAGGATTTTCACCATTTTTGACATTCACTTATTGATCAATCTCTTGGATACACTTATTCTTCAGAACTTCTTTGTTTCATATAAGAGATTGTAAACCACTTCCTCCATTTTATCTTTTTTTGGCTAAATCTCTTATCAACGCTTCCAAACATTTCATTACATTAATGTTATCCATCTTAGTTATTCATTCACAACCTATACTGGTTGTTTATAGTTGTTTGCAAAAAATAAAACACATTTTTTTTTCTTCTTTTATTAAATTTCTTGGACATGCTTCCGAACGCTTTATTTTATTAAATTTAGCTAGTATCTTATAGTTATCTATCTTATAGTTTTTCATTCACAACCTACAACTGGTTGTTTACAGAAGTTTGTGAAAAATGAAATAAACATACATTCTCTCTTCCAAGCAGACCAAAGATTGGAAGCCCCTTCTTCCATTTTACCAATCACTTACGGAAGAATCTCTTGGATATCCTACCGAACGCTTAGATCACGGATTCATACCAGTTATCTGCAAAGCTCAGGTAAACAAAACTATACACTTAGATTGAGTTGTTTTCGTTAAATCTGTATTGTTTGAAAAATCAGTTGTTAAGTTTAGTGAGATTTAAAAGTTTATCTATCAACTATTGGGCAATTCCATGGTGTCGGAAGTAAAAAATGAGCTAAAATGTCTTAAATGAATTTCATTTAAGAATTATAAATTAAAGTTATCAAATTTGAATTTAAAATACTTTATTCACTATATTCTATATAAAAAAATTTTATTTAATAAAATCGGATAATAATTTAGTTCAGCGGTTCTTGACCTATGGGTCGCTACCCAAAATTGGGTCGCGAAGCATAATTCTTGGGTCGCGCTGAGTCGAACCAAAAAAGTTAGTAATACACCAAATAATAAGTAATACCAACACCTCCTAGAAGAAGTCATTGTGGCTTACTNCGCCTTCATTGTACGCCTTCATTTTAGATTTACGATACTCTTAGCGCCATCTATACTTTTTTTCGGAAACTATTTGCTAGCAAAGCCATCCGAATATCAACTAACTATACGTGTATATATATATAATTTTTTTCCTTCGGATTTCGGGAGGGGCCCTGGCCCCCTCGGCACCCCCCATAAATACGCCCCTGTCGCGACATGAACATATTTCTCAAATTTGGGTCGCGGCTTAAAAAGGTTAAGAACTACTGATTTAGTTCACAATAAATGGGTTAAACAAATGGTGTCGGGCGTAAATCACACAAAATTAAAATACGATTACTTGGTTACGCATCCCTTAAATTCTGCAAATTGGTTTGGAATTTCATTTTAAACATAATTAAATTTTAAAGCTAGCATTTTAATAACGCATATTTAGCAGTTTTTAAAAATTCTAACACAATAAATAATTAATTTTAAATTATTTTATCAATATTACGAAATATTCAATATTTACAAAATTGTTTATATTAATGAGCTATAGAATCTTGCTTTATACAAAAAGTTTATTATTCCAGCTCTAATTTTATTTATCAGAACAAATAATTATGCATTTTAGTGTCGGACGTGAAATGCATAAAGTGCCTTATGAGAGTTCTTGTAAAAATCAAAATGAGCAATAATTCTACATACTTATGCAACAGGACCTGTCTTTATTATTGTAAAATGTATTTTAATGATTATTTATTTCATTTCTCAATATTACTGTGAATTTAAAAAAAAGAAATATCTGGATTTCTTTAATGTGACTTAATGTGACTTAAAATTTCAAATGATGTTGCCTTTCATTCAACAGCTTGCAACTAATTGGAAAATAAATTTATCAAGTTAATAGTTATTATAACTAAATATTCAACTTGTTGCCTTTAAAATGACACTTCGTAGTATGCTAAAAAAAATATTTATTTTGTATTTCTCCTCAATTGTTTGACCTTACTGTGGAATTTCCCTATTTTCAGCAATGAGATAGCGTTTTCCAAACGGCATTTCACGAACATTAGAGGCAGCAAGAATTAGCAACAATGATGTTATATTAAAAGTATTCACTTCATTATATGGTTAAAATATTACTCGTGCTTTCTTAAAAGAGTCAAAGAATATTAACTTCCAATAAACAAGCATTATTCACTTATTTGACAAACGTAACGTGTGAAGATAAGGCATATATCAAACGAAGGCTAAATTTATTATTCAATCTAACATTTCAAGTTGTTTAGCAACTTTTCACATTTAACTGTATGAGGTATTTTTTTAACTTTATAAGAAATGTTTATTATTAAGTTACAATAGCATTTAGATATATTTCGTAAGTTTTGCTAAATTAATACACTCTGTAGCAAAAAAACGACGCACCAAGAAGCAATCACCCGATTGCTTTGAAATTTCGTATGTATGAATGTTTTGAATAGATATGGCTGGAATGATGCCGACTGGGGACGTAAAGTCTTTAGCGACGGATCTCGCTTCCAACTGTGTCCTGACGATCATCGAAGGCGTGTTTGGAGCTTTGGAGACGCACAGGGTAGAGGGGGGATCCTGCCTTCACTATTGCACGCCACACCGACCCTCAACAAGGCATTATGGTCTGGGGTGCCATTTCCTTTGACAGCCGGACCCCTTTGGTCGTCATTAGAGGTACACTTACTGCACAGCGGTACGCCGACGACATCCTAAGACCTGTTTTGCTACCGTTCCTTTTGCAGTGCCCTGGGCTGGTTTTTCACCAGGACAATGCCAGACCACATACAACACGTGTTGCTATGAACTGTCTGCAAGCTTGTCAAACTCTTCTTTGGCCTGCCAGATCACCAGATCTCTCTCCCATCGAGCATGTCTGGGATATGATGGGAAGGCGATTGCATCTGGCACGGAATGTTGATGACCTCGTTCGACAATTGAATCAAGTTTGGCAGGAAATACCGCAAGAGACCATCCGGGAGCTTTATCGGACTATGCCACGCCGTGTGGCAGCTTGTATCCAGGCTATAGGCAGGTCAACACCTTATTGAACTTGTTACTGTAACTCTGCAATAAATTATTCAATTGTTCTGAAATTTTAATCATTTACTAATCTCTACATTGTCTTCCTATCCACCAAATTTCGTTTTAATCGGACAACTCCTTCTTGGTGCGTCGATTTTTTTGTTATAGAGTGTAGTTACGATTACGTTGAATTCAGAATACCGCGTTGAGAGAAGGGGGATTGGACCTAATCGTTCGTTTGAGGACTAAAAAGAGAACTCTTTTACACTGGGAAACAATTTGTTTTTCTTCCATCTTTATAGTTTGTCTATAGTAAGAACTCCCCTAGCCATTCGTCTGAACCCGTGGCGGTGACTATGGTAACGAGGTATAATATTTCAAGTAGGCTCGTGTTGTCACTGCTTAGGACAGGTTTTGGCTCGGGTCAAAGAGAGAAAGGGACTTTTTTTCTTCGGTCTATTGTGTTACCCCTCCCTAGAGTGAAGCCCTAGAGTTAGCCCTAGAAGCTACCCTCGATGAAATGCGCTATTCTTGTTTCCATAGCAGCAGACGGCCTCAGACTTTGTGATGGAGGGAGTACTTACCGTAGACAAACTATACCTCGAGTAAATATTTTCTTACGAAAATTATAAAAGATTTGTTTACGTAATTCAATTATTTTACGATCGTAAAAGTTATCATATTTATATTAATAACAACAAAAAATGAATATAAATAATTATTGTGAAGTATTCTTCGCATGACGAAAACTATTTCAAATTTATCACAGACATAAACATGTTGGAAAACGTAAAAAGGCATCATGATGTATCGTGAATTATAAAAATAAGAAAAAGTTGGAGTAAAGTCAATGTCAACTCGGTTTCATTTTATAGCAAAAAATAGATGAAAATTGTACTAATATTAAAAATGCTTACATATTCCAGTATTTACTTGTTATATTATTCGTTTTTTTAAAACCACTAACCCTTTGACAAAGAATTTTTATTAAACACATTTTTCAAACTTTTTTTCAATATTTTGTATTAATTTAGGTCAAAATATGAAAAAATATTATATTTAGCATTTTAATAATTTAATGTTATGAAATACTGCATGAAACACTGGTGTCTTTTTCTGTGAGGGCAAAATCTTTCAAACACGGCTCGACTCCAAACAATAATTTTTCAAATTTGCAGTTATTTAGATCTAAGAGAAACAATATTCATTATTGAGATTTCTTGAATTTACAAAATTAGTTATTGATAAAATTTTGAATATGAATGAAAAAAAATTCCAACTGATTTTTTTGCTGGATCGATAATCTAACAGATTTTTTTCAGTAACTATTAGATTGTTTTTCTATAATTAAAAAATACCAAAATATATTTTTGCTTGTAATTAGAGTGCTAAAAAAATATGTAAACATAAAAGGGACACCAGTGTCTTATCTACGTCAAAGGATTAAAACTAATTTTTATATTAATTTCAATGGTTTTGTTTTAATCAGGATAAGAGCAAGCCGAATACACCCATTGGAATTGATATTTACCCTCCCAAAGGTTACTCAGTCCTTTATTTTCCTCAATCAAAGTTTGGAAGTTCTTACCTTTCTCCTGTTGTAACAGTCAAAGTAAATGGTATAAGAAGAAAAAGAAATGTCACTGTTGATTGTGCGGTAAGTGTGACTTATAATTCCTATTTTAGTCTAATTATGATTAGTATAAAATGAAAATGTGGTTAATTCTCCACATTAGTAAACCAGCTTTTTAACTCCTACAAATAATATCATTCCAAAACCCTACTGATGTAGAATTAAAAATTTAAGACATCTGACAGCAAAAGCTTGCTCTACATTGTCAAGTTTCTAAAATTATTATTTTTTCTCCCAACTATTCCTTTTTAAAAGCCATTGGATTAATTAAAATAACTTTTAGTCCAGTTTTACATTCTTACATAAGAATTTATTTCATCGTCGGCTGCATATAGGATTTTCAGATTTTTTTGAACTAATTAACCAGTATTTCGGTTACATGGAGAAGAAAACTACGAAATCCTCCTACGGTTAGCCTGGCGGCATATGGATTCTTATCAGCATTCTAATCCACAATCCGCATTCTAATCTACAATCCGCCTTTCACTATCTATGGTAAAGGAGAACACATTTTTTGTTGCATTTATACCAATACTTGATCTTGCCTAATTCGAATGTGGGGATTTAAAATCTGAAATTAGTTTTGCTCCTAAAGCTGCAGATTTTTTTAAAATGACATTTTTTGTCGAAATGTCCGAATTTAAAAACGTTATATATAACAGGGTGACAAATAAATGTTGCGACAATTGTTGTCTAGGGGAGTTAGGGCTCATCATTAGGATTAAATTTGGCTAGAAACCCGTCGTACGCAACTGGGGGAATTTCCCCTATTATGACCTGTTCAAAAGCACACGAAGAAACATTATAGGGAAGTGCCCTTAGTGGCATATGACGCTCATGGCATATGACTTAGTGGCTCCCTTAGAAGTTTGTCACAACATTTAGGCGACCCGCTGATGTTTTTAAACTTGAACATTTTTACTAACAATAAGTTAAAACTGTCATTTTAGAAAAAGGCTGAAAGAGAAACCGATCGCAGATTTAAAATCAGCGATACGAAAGTATCTAAAGAAATGTTAAAAAATCTCATGCAACAGAAAGAAAAAAATTGTAAAATTTATTAGTCTGACCTCTATTTAACGAAGTCGCTAAATCCCGATAATAAGTTCGTTATATGGAAAGTTCGTTAAATAGAAAGTCACCTTTTGAAATATTTAAATAACACAAAAGGATTTTAAATTCATAAACACTAGGCATAATTAAAATAGCAATTGATACACATTTATCACTTAAACTAGTATCTACTATTTATGTCTTACAAATCTTAACCATAAAAACAATCTGCATGGAAAACAAGAATAGAGCAAAACATTATCACAAACAAAACTACAAAACTATTATAACAAAAGTAAAAGAAAAAAAAAAGCTAAATTTATGTATCAAATTATACCTGCATTTATTATAAAAGTAATTTTAAACATGCATTACCTCAAGCGTTTTTAAGTTTAATTACTACTGATAAAATCCGATAATTTTATCTGAATTTTTCGTTTGAAATGCAAACAAAAAGGAAAGGGTTCTCTAAAAGTTAAGTGGCTTTGAAAGTCAAGGTCATTTTCCCTGTAAAATGTGTTAACAAGTTTGAAATGTTCTGAAATATTTTGGGAAATAGGGAAAGTGGATCTCAAAGAAAAGTTCGTTAAATAGAAAATTCACTTCGTTATTTGAAAGTTATTTTATTAAGAAATTTCTAAAATGTTCTTGGTTCCACGAAAAAAATCGCAAAATAGAGAAAATGGAAATTCGTTAAATATAATTCCGACTGTACCTGCTAAAAAGAAATTTCAGCCCACTATAAGCGAACTGCCGATTTCTTATCCGTTTACTATAAGTGTATGAAATAACATTAGTTAAATAATAGTTCGGATGGGATCGTTAAAAACGTTTATTACAATCGAATGTTCACTATATCCCGGTTTCATAATAACGGGGTTAGAATTGCTAAAAAACCCTCTCCCAAAAGCTACTTATATCTCTATATCAAGCACGTAGAGTTATGACAAGTTGCTTCAAAATTATTCGAAAGAGAAAAGATATAGAATTCGGGTAACAAAATTTGCGAAAATCAAAATTTCTTTCTGGAATTTGCATTATGCAAATTTTTAACTCTTATAACAAAATGTAAAACAATGCTTTTTACTTTCAGATTGTTACACCCAATGCTTTTGAATTAAACAACAATGGAAGAATAAGTATAACATTTTCCACATCGTAAATGATGAAGATTGAGATTGACATTCCATCATGGAAGCAGTGGATAAATTGGCTTCATAAGAAAAAGCAAGCTAAGCGAACATGAAACTATTGTTTAGAATGTCAGAGACGAATGCAAATAACCTTCAGACATAAACTGTAATTTATTTTCTGTGTTAGTCCTAAAAAATCTTTAATCATTATTAGGAATTGGTTTTCGACAATTATGGAATTAGAAGTAAAGCAAAAGTGTGTGTAGATATTTTTATAAACGCTGATTATATAGAGAAAGAAATAATATCATCTTTTTAAGTACAAAAAATATATTGTGAAGTTTTAAATTTCTTAAACCAATTGTGTATAAAATGAAAATTGTCAAAAGAATTTGATTTATTTATTCATAACTTTTTTTTACCCTTTTGACAGTTTTGTAAATAGGTAAAGGATTCTTCTTGTACGCTGTATCTTATAGGTAAATAGGTTTTGCTACGCAGACTAAAACTTCTGTTTGATAGTCAATTCACAAAATGTTGACGCTATAAAGAGCATTAAAATGAAAATCAAACCAAAATTGTAAATACATTTAATCCACTGGAAAACGAGACGATCAATTCTTGTCTTGAAGAAAGAGCACCGTCGAATCCAACATCTCATCCACTCTTGCATATCATGGTGCAGATGTAACCCAAGTTCACAAATGTTTTTCTCCGGGCAAATAAAAATGTTTCAAATAAGTCGAAAGATCCGGTTAGCACGGAGGATGTTGAAGTATTTCCCAGCCAAATCTCTGATATTCGTAGGTTTTCCCGGATCAGTTAATCTATACGCGGAATTACATCATGTATAATGGCTCGATGGGCTTTTCCTGGGTACAAATTGTTCTGCAGTGTTGTGCATCCATTTCGAATTTTTTTCTCCCAATCGTGCATGCATGCAGTGTTTACCATACACAGGAGAATTTCATACGTTCCAGTACTCTCAACTAGCCAAAAACAAAAGATAACACTCTAAACATAGTAGCCACGTTCTAGAAAATTTAATAAAGGTTGCACTATCGATAAAAAAAAAATCCTTGTAAATTAAACATCTGTGTTATAGTCCCAGTCTGTGTGTTATAATCCCTATCTGTGTTAAAGCTAACCAGTCTCGTAGTGAACTGATCCTAAAGACACGGTTCCCAGTAAAACACCGAAGTCAAGCATCACTGGCTGCGGTCAGTCAGCGGGTGGATGATCACTTTCATCAGCCTGCATAGAAAACGAGGGTGTGCGTTATCGGTCCATCGGTCCTCGTTAAACTGCTCTACCGTAAAGCGCTCGACTTCGCGGGCAAGTCGTCGGGCTATCAAAGCAGCTCTGCAGAGGATCATGGCATGTCTTCAGATCATCCTCAGGGATGTTCTCAGACAGTCACCAACAGCCCATTGTGCAGCTCTAGTGCGACGCGCATAAAGTCTACGTGAAGTTAAAATCTATGAAATTTACGATAAAGTCATAAGCATAAATTTTTACCTCTTTTTTAATTTTTCTAGACTGTGGTGTTACTCTTTCCTTCATATTCAATACTGGACGAAGCCATTTTTCGCAATGCTCACCTCAAGGGTGAGGGTAGCGAACGGTGTAGACCTGTGCATTTTGACTATGCAATTCTCTTACTTCACAGTTGGCATATCTATTGTCAAATTTGGCGAGCATTGTGTTTTATGGTGGGGTTTTCATTTTACTGCACCTTATAGAAGAAACTGATTATAAGGATCATATTAAGCAGGGCAGGTCCGAGGTATATGCCTGGTAAGAAGCTGCGTAGGGCGCCGAGTTTAGGGGGCGCCTTCGCAGTTGTGTGGTAAGGCTAGGTAAAAATGAAAAAGCTTTTTACGATTTAATTTTTCCCTTTCTAAACGCTTTTTCCCCTTCTTGCTAGCTTGCTGAAAATAACAGTTAAAACGCTCTTATTTTCCCAAAATCAAATGTTGAAATATATCTAATATTTTGGCAGCCTAATAACCCTACAAACTGTGTATTCCTTGTTTTATCAGTGTCAATGACATCCTGCCTTATGATAATTAAACGATCGGCAAATATAGATGACTATTGATAATTGAGTTAAATACAGATGACTATTGATAACTGAGTTAAATACAGATGACTATTGATTTTTCTTTAACGTTTCTTCAAGAAAACCCTTTCGGGAAGTGAGAAAATTGATATGCCTTTAATAATTTCCCCTCCCACTATGTTCTAAAAAAAATTGCTACGTTTAGGTTGGCGCTCTCTTAAGGTAGGTAAAATAGGAAGTTATAAATATTGGTGTAACATTGGCTTATTCTTAAAAATCATTGATGCAAAATTTATAAGAAAAATAGACGAAAAGTGGTATTTAATTTGTCAGGAAAACTTACCAATTGCTTTGTTAGAAAAAAGGAATAGCAGGCACGTCTCGAATTTCCTGCAGCACAGTGTTTTTTGAGAAAACATACAACTAAAATTTTTATTATTTTCTCAAATTTTAAAAATATATTATTTTCAAGTTGCTCCTAGATTCATTCTTGAAGTAAAAACAAAATTTATTACTTTCTTTCAGTTATTGTAATATTAATTTAAACGTTTAATATAATCATTTTGCTTTCTTTTATTTTATCAATACGTGATTTCCTTAAAATGCTTCATTTTTAGTTTAAAAACATATATAATTGATTTTCTTTTAATAAATATAAAATAATGTGACCTGTAAGATTTGCATCGATTTTTTTTCTCTCGAAATTCTTCATTCTATTCCATTTTCTTTTACTTTTTGTGATTTAAAATATTTCCAATTTAAATCAAAATCACTAATTAGCTATTCTTTAATTTTTACGGCTAAAGTTGTTAAAACGGACTTTCAAAAAAACCATATAGCAATTTAAATAATTTGAGGTTGATTTTTAGGATCAAGGGATTTTAGGTCCTACACCTTTTTTGTCAATACTTTTATCAATATTAAAATTATATCAAATTGGAACAAACTGAAAATTATAGCATTGTTCGTTACCTCTCCTCTCGATAAATTATAATCTTAAATAAATAATAATTTTTTCTTTAAATAAAGTTTAGAATACTGCCTTTTTTTCATTTTTTCCTTTTTTAAATTTAGTGATTACATTTATATTATAGTTAGCTTATTTTCGCTTTCTTGCTGTTTTTTTCTAATACTAATTATTTTAAAATGTCTTTAAATATTGGACTAAAAATTATATCACTGTATTTATTTTTTTTCTTCTTCCTAATAACGAATAAAAATTTTGAAATATTTTTAAGGTCTCAAGTTTTTATTTCAGTTTCAAGCATTAAATTTAATTTATTTTTAATTTTAGTGATTAATTGACTCTTTTTTACGAATATTTTCGGTGAACTGGAAAGCAATGTCGCTTTTGATACTTTAAATTATAAAATATATTTTAGCAAGTTTTTTGTTTTAATCAATGATGTTAATATCCACGTTTTTGGAAACCTTATTTTATAAAGTTCGCAAAATTTAAATCAGTTGGTCAACATCAGTTGTAATTTTAAAAAGCCTGGCAAAAATTATAAATTAGAATAGGCATTCTCCAATTACCCACCATATTTGCCCGACATTGCACCATTAGATTTCTATATATTATATGACCGCTACATTGCACGACAAAAAACTTGAAAATATGGATGATATTCCAAATGCCTTCTTTATTTTTTTGATCTTGCTCAAGAAACGATTGGTTTTTAGGAATCCGGCATTTAAACGTGATGTCAAAAGGTCTCTGATAACGTGGCTAATGCATAATTAAAATCTTTTAACTGATTAGGTGCACAGACAGAGGCAGATCCAGAAATTTTTTCTGGAGAGGGTCATAGACTCAGATTCCCTCCCCCCCCCTCACACACAATTAATTTGCTTTTATAAAAGAAATTTTTAATATTTTTTTTGAAAAAAAAAAACTGGGTTTTTAATGCTAGTCTTCTCATTTTTATTTCTTTCATAATGAACAATACATAAATAATTCAAGTATTCAAAATCTTTAAATAATAAATGTAATGCGTTTTTACATAATTAGATATTTACATAATTAGATGAAGAAAAAAAATCGATTTTTTCCAACCTACCTAGGTGTATATGCCCCCTTNGCTCTAAGCCAAGTTTTGAGACGTCGAAGAGTTGAAAAGGAACGTTCTGCTGTTGCTGCACTAACTGGCAGAGTTATTAAAATTCTCAACATATTGATTGATGGGTACAAATCGATCTCACAGGCATTGATAATCTTGAAAAGATCGTTGGGCACTTCAAGTCCTGCTTCTGTTTCCCGCTGTCATTTTGCCACCCAAAGACGAAATTCTGTTTCGACAACTTCTATGGAAGCATTTAAGAGATTCTAATAAACCTCGCAGTTTCACGAACGGCTATAAGATCTTCTTCTGTAACAGTTTGAAACCTGTTGAAGTGTGCTTGGAGCGCTTCAACATTATTAATGTTTACAATGAAACTATGACGAATTTCGTTTTAATCTTTTGGATTATGATTCTTGAAACAGTAAAGAACATAATTAGATGAAGAAAAAAAAACGATTTTTCCGATCTACCTTAGGTGTATATGCCCCCTTAAATAATTTTTAAAATATTTTATTTCTTTTGTAAGCTATTAAAAAAAATTATTATTATGTTTTCAATTGGGGGGGTCATGCCCCCCCCCCCCCNCCCCCCCCCCCCCCGCCGGATCCGCCACTGTGCCCAGAAAACTGAAGCCTATTTTTTAGCGTTTGAAAAATTTCGATTATTTCCAATTTTTATATTTTTCAGCGCATGATGTTTTTAATCAAATAATATCTTACCACTTCAGTTTCTTAAGATTATTTAACTAAATAAGTGGATAAATTAATAATGAAATTAATTTTTCTCAATTTCTATGAAGTTTGTTCTAAAAGCATAACGCACATTTCTTTCGATCTTAGCTTTTCCTCTTAAAATTATGTATACTTAATGATTTTTGTTTTTGAGAGAAATGTATTCATTTCATGTACAGATGGCAAAAATAAATGAATTAACTGGTCTGGTCACCCTGCATAACTTATGATCTAATGACTGGATCTTTACGTTGTAGAACTCAATCTTAATGGATCAAGGGGTCTCAAATATGTTAATTAGTTCAGACGATATTTTTAAAGTTACGAAATCAACTACAAAAACTTACTTTCTTTGAATAAACATACCTCTTTTTCGGTAGATTCCGGTTTCTGAACCCCAAAATCCAAAATAGCCGCAATCTGGGAAATATGGTTCCCCTATTCTCATTAAGAGAGTGATCCAAAGCTTGGACGCCTTGAAGTTCGTTTTTCTTTTTACGTATTGCGCCACATCTCAAAAACTTTTTAAAAGTATTGAAAAACTTTCGCACACAATTTTAAAATTTGTTTATGCAAAGATAATTCCATGCAAAAATGCATTTTAGTAAATATTTATTTTTAATTGTTTTATTTAATAATAGTCGAAAAATGTTAGAATTGTAAGGTATTCCTTTTTTTGGACTCATTTAAAGAATGCAAATTTAAATGGCAAAATAATCGAGTAATTCTCGAGAAATGGAATTTTGAAAAAATCGTATTTTTAAAATTTGATTTCTCAAGAATTATTCGACAGATTTTCGACTATCATTAAATAAAACAATAAAAAATAATTAATATTTTCTTAACGTTATATCTTGCATGGAATTATTTTCGGATAAAAAATTTTTATAACTGTGTACAAAAATTTTAAAATTCGATTTTAAGCTATCGAGATATTGAGGAATACGCAAAAAGTAAAATTAACCTTAAGGGGTGCAATCTATTGGGACCATATTTCATCGAAAAAAAGGTATGTTTATTCAGAGAAATTACGCTTTTGTGACTGATTTCGTAATTTAAAATATCGTTAGCATTTATTAATTAGCATATTTGAGATCACTCTAATTTTAAGTCAAGAACGTGAAGATGCGATCATCCCGCATTTTGCGTACTGTACGTATTTATATTTTATAAGCCTCATTTAACAGCTGACTCACTTTTTGGGTTTACGACTACTAATGTCAAACTCTGCAGCCTTGTAATTTTGAACCTAGTCCAGAAGACAAGGGAACTTCTGGATCAAGTTTTAGGAGAAATTTGCTTTAGCGTTACATGGAGATGAAGACCACGAGAACCTCCCACGGTTAGCCTGACGGTAAGGGGACTCTAACCCATGATCCGTCTACCACTAAGGATATTTCACATCAGCACTGTGGTCGGTTCAAGCCGGATGCGGAATTCGAATCGACCAGCCATCGCTGGGATCGAACCCAGTTCACCTCATTGGAAGACGAACGCTCTATCCCGAGTCATTGCAGCTTTACGTATTTATATTTTTATGTCCGTCGTTGAACAGCGGACCCTGCTAATGTTCAACTCCGTAACCAATCCAGAAGACAGGAAACTCCTGGATCAGTACCCCCAGAGGTTTTGATTTGTTATGGAAACATGGAGAACTTTGCGACTCGACAGATTTAACGTGCATCGGTCATCATTTACCCCACGGAGAATCTTTGGTTAGCATGGGATCCAACCCACGAATCTTGAACATGGGCCCAGTGCACAAGCAACCAGGTTATCCCGGCGGATACGTATTTATATTGTAATAATTATTACACAGCTTAATAAATTTAATTACTTCGCTCTGAATAATTTAGAATAAAGTACATCATATAATTAGTTAATAACGCATTTTTATAAAAATTAAAAACTGTTGATTTTGACTTATTTTAAAATTGTAAATAACATTTATTTTACTCCGTTCATATTTATTATCGTTAAAGGAGGGGGAGCCAAAACTGTTTTTGTTTACACTTGATAATTAGCTCTGACATTAAGTTTGATGTTCGCAACTAAGTTTACTTGATTGTTAATTTTATATTATGTTCTGTAGTTAGTATTGCAAAAGTGTTATTTTCTTAAAATAAAAGATATTTTATATGTAATATTCCAAAGTCTATTATTATTTGATCAGAAACTGAAGAAATGTTTTTTTCCACTTTCCTAATTTTCCTTTTTCATCAAACTAAAATAATTCACAGACTTCCTTCACTCAAAAATAACAAATTTTTAGTTTAAATCTTTTTAAAATAATTTTTTAAGGTTTTATTTTTTTGTGGTAAACTGTTTTTCTTTTCTTTCAACAGACTACTTTGAAAATTTTATTATGAAATGAAAACACAAATGGAAGAACTTAGTTTTTAATTCTTATAAAACATATAACAGTGCACTGTACAAAAAATACATATATTCAGGCTCTAGAGAACAAAAACAATCGTGATTTTTATAATTACAATAAAAGGTAAACATAATTGTTTATTAAACTATTTCTGCAATTTCGCTTTTTTTAAAAGAGAATTACTGTACACATGAAGCAGGCTAGAAGCTCCTATGTACACATGACAAAAGCACTCAATTACAAACACATTACAAACAGCACTTATTTCTTATATATATAGTATATGTATTCACCTATTGAGGTCAGTTTATTGGTCTCACATATTTAAATTATCAAGCCATTATGCCCGATCTTAACTTAGGGCAACTAAATTATATCAGATCGAAAGATTAAAATTTAAAAATTTCTGTGCAAAACAAACAATTCCCAAATGTACACAGTGCCTACTAAAGTCCTTAACCCTCCTCTTAACTTTCGAGTTTTTGGTGCTGTAGTTACGAAATGGTGTCTGGCGTAGAAAAGTGGCTATGTGCTACAAGATGAGATCACTTACAGTGCCATCTAGAGGAAAGATGCAGAGTTAGAAGTTTATCTGGAAAACAGGATAAGATATGGGGGGAAAATATGAATTGACAAAAATGAACAAATTTGCAAAGAAACTGCTTAGCAGACAGATTGTAGTGGGCGGGAAAAAATGTTAGGTTTTGTTGATTTGTTTACCTGAAATTTCTTACAATGTAATCCTACATAAAACATTCCTAGAAATTAAAATATATATATATATATATAGATTAATAAATAAAAGCTAGCAATCACAAGATACCGTAATATTTTATTTTCAAAAACTTTTAAGCATTTGATGTCGACAAGATGTCCATTTGTATTAAAGCCATGAAGCTCTACAATTTTGTAATTCAGTTTTTTCTGACATCTTGCGCCTTTTTCGAAGTAGAAATGCTAATTTTGCAATTTTCCACTAGTCAGCCCATGCGTAGCCACTTTACTACACAAAGACACCATTTAACTATAGTAATTTGAAAGTTAAGTAGATTATTACAGACCTCAGTGGGCACCCCATATAGTAGTGATTAATAAATCATTTAATTGCCAAATTAATTAAAGCAATTATTACCATTAGAATGATTAATGTAATTAAACATGATAGTAAAATAATAAAATAAATAACATTTCATAAACATAAAATACATTCGAGTAACAGTTTATAATTGCAGATAAAAATGAAGAAAATAACAAGCTTAAATATTATCTTTAATATTTTTATAGCTATGAAAAATCTAGTTCTCATTCAAAAATTTAATCATAAAAATGCATAAATATAAGCAAGCTTATTCTCTTACAGAAATTTAATTGGCTTGATATGTTCATTAGAATTCATGTGATCATAATAATACACCACAGTAGGAACACAAATATCACAAGAAGGCTTGGATAAAGTATTAAATAACACCAACAGCATCATGGAATAATAATTATATTAAGAGGCCCACATTTGATGGCTTTTAAAAGAATTGTATTTTTAATTAAATTAATATTTTATAAACTTTTTTATGGTTTACATTTTTATTTTTGTAAAATGAACTAAACAAATATTACATTATCAATTTTCAATAAATAAACAACAAAGTAAACTTTAAATGTTACTAATACGAGTTTAATTGGTCTTTGATAAACAATTTTTTCAAATTCTACAAACTTCTGCGCACGATAATTTAATTAGAGTCTGGACAATAATCTATTTTATTACAAAAGTGATATTCTGTTAATTTCAGTAGAGTAATATTTTTTACAGTGTGCACATAAAAAAATGTGAAGTGTCTAGAACCCTAATATGAAATATAAAAAACCTTTGCATAAATCCTCAAAAGATTATGTGGTTTAAATTTATTAAGATTAAAATAATTTAGACCTAAAAATCACTGATAGGGGAAAATTTGGCAAGCCAAGCATGATATACAATTACTAGAGTCCCTAATGACAATTATATTGATTTATATTTGTAAAGAAATTATTACTTTTCTTAATAATAAAAAAAATGTCTTAACTTAATATTTCAATTGACAAATTTGTATTCATTTGCTACATACTTTATGCTTCAAGTGCCAAATTTTTTGCTTTAGGTAATTTCAAATGATTTATATATCATTATTTTACAGAATTTGAAATTGCATTCTTTGTTAGGGTTGTACGTAAAAAATTTTCATCTTTTAATCATTCATGTTATAATAGGACTGAGAACATCTCACAACACTCTTTTCTGTACACTTTTATGCAAACTTCTTATTTTTATTAAAAAATTTAAATCTTGAAATGCACACTTTGTTATTCAACCATCAAACTTGGGACTCTGATAATACTAATAAAATTAACATACAGACTAAAAAAAAAATATTGATTGCATACCCATTTTCTATATTCAGAAACACCCCCATACGACAATATATATAAAAATTTCAACAAGAATTTTTGCACGCCCAATAATATACGTGAGTCTCGATTAAGATTACAATTGATTTGGCAGCTAAAATATACATCTTCATTGTAAATGTTTTGGAAAAATTTGGACCATATTTACTCAAGTTCTTCTCATTGTTAGAGGCAAATGAAAATGGGTGTCAACCCTCATTAAAAACACATTTTTGTCAGTAAAATTAATACATTTTCTTAACGAAATAATTAATTGAGATTAAGAAACAAATATCAACATTGATATATGTATGCACAAGTTAAAGACTGGAATGATATCTTATTACATAAATAAGAGGAGAGGAAAAAAGAAAATAACAAATAGTTGTCCAAAAAAATACAGTCATTTGTTTTAGCCAGGTTAAGACACAATTCATCTCTTTACCACTCAATGATTCCAGTGGGGAAGCTACTGTGATGCTATTAATCTCCACAGAAGGCATTGAAATTCTGTTTCACACAGACGGAGAAGTATCATGCTGTATCTGGCATAGGCTGCAATAAACTGCTAATATCCCAAAGCTGAAATTTAAATGAGAAAATATTGAAATAAACAGAAAGATAAATATATACTTTTGTATTTATAATTTGTTTAACTGAGCCTGAAATGATTCAATAAGAAAGAAAGCAACAAATTACAACTTAGATGAAGAATTTTTATTTTTTAATTAATTTTTACTAATTTAGGTCAAATTAAATGAAAAATATTATACTTAGAATTTTAATGACTAATCGGGGTGCGTAGCCAAATTATTCAACAAAAAATAAGCACCTTTTAAGCACTTTTCAAGAACTCAAATAATATTTTTACGCACCTTAAAAAATATTATAACTAGGCAGGGTGAGAAAGTTTTTGACAATTGACGTTTTAACCGTCATGTCAAAAAAAAAAACCTTTTGGCATTGTTTTTGACAATTGTCAAAACTTTTGAATCATGTAAATCGAATGACGCTTTCATACGCTACAGACTAACGATGCGCCGAAATAGATAAGGGTTGAATTAATTGTGAAAACGTTTAATAGAACAATATGAACAGTGTCTTTCTGCATAATTCGTAGCGAAAATCAACATGGTAAAGGGAAAATCTCAATTTTAAGCACTTTTTAAGAACATCCAATGAAAAAAGCACCTTTAATGGCTTTTAAAGAACGAAAATCAAAAATAAGCACCTTTAAGCACTTATTAAAAACGCTATGCACCCTGCTAATGGTTATGAGAAACAGCATGAATCATCTGTGTACTTTTCGGTTTTATAAGTATACACAGTCGAACCTCGTTGACACGAAATGGGTGGGACTGCTATAATTATTTCCGATACACGATGAAAATAATTTATTACATACTAACTACATATATATTATGTATTTCATTAATGTATGCAAAAAATACTCTTATGTACCAAGCAAATAAAAATAAATTCCAAAATTTGAACTATATTTTCCACTATTTTAGTAAAAATAACAAATAAAAAATATAATGTACATAACAGCACTTTATGCATCTTATTTTGAGTTGAAAAAGTCCGTAATAGATTTTTGCTTTGTCTTTTGATTTTCACATAGATTCCAAAACTGCAGAATCTCTTCCAAACAAGTTATAGCAGAAGTTGCGCTCCTTTGTTGAGTAAGAAAATTCATTACATTTTACATTTGTAATAAAGAAAAGTAATTACATTCGTAATAAAGTAGTTGCAGTTAGAGTAACTTAAAAAATAATGTATTTTTAACCACTGATCTATATAACCAAAATTTTTTTGCTATAGAACTGCACAAAAGATAAACAAATTTTGTATCTTTTGTGGAAAAATAATTTTAAAAAGTCATCTTAATTGTTTATGATAAATATTTTTTTTTACTTAAAAAATGATAGGCATGTATATAACTATGTTCTACGCAAGAGTGCCCCAAATTGTGATTTGGGCTAAATAATGTTGCCGAGTAATATCACTGAGTAATTTATTTTCAATCAATATTAGTTAATTAAAAAAAACTTTAAGGTAACAAGCTCAATGTATAAATAATTTTGAACATTGAAATGAAACATTTCATTGCTTGCAAATTTATGTGCATATGTTTAATATTTTTAAATTGACATAAAAAGAAGAAGAAAAAAAAAATGCTGAAGAACATACAGAAAATATGGAACTGAAATATATGTTGACAACTACACATTATGCTGTTAATATTAATTACTACACAGTAACTAGAATAAAGTTAACAAATTATTTCCTAATTAATATACATGCAGGATAAAAAAAAACAAGTAGTTACAATAGATTTAAATAAATAGACATGAAGTAAAAGATTTACCTTAATGATTTTATCAACTCCGACAGTAAGTAAATGTGAACGAGTTTCATCTAAATCCATATGAATGATACTATGACGAGCATCATGAAATGAAGCTAATGAAACTTTACTGAAATATTAAGAATAAATAAAATAAGAAATATACAAGAATATAAAATTTATTTTAAATTTACAAAAGAGGGAAAATAATAAATACAATATACAATCTATGCTTCGTAATATGACCTCGCCGCTTCCTTATTGCGATCCTTACACTATAATAAGGAATACATAAGTCCCGTTTTTTATTCCATAGATGGAATGTTATTTTAAAGCCCATTAAAACATCTAAATTTAATCGTTCATTTCAACGCAGAAACCAATTTTTTTTTTAATTTAAGAAATTTATGCAAAAGCAGATATTAAACATTATTGGGTTTTCATACAAATATTTTTTCCATTGACAATAAGTTAATAGATAACATTGAAAATTCTGGAGAAAATGATCCAAAACCATATTTTATTTGGCAGCTCAAGAAACATGAAACATTTTGACTTTTCCAAGAATAAAGAAACAGAGAAAAGACAACCTCTTATTATCCTAAGTTGCCGTAGGTGCAATCTATGGTCAAAAAAATTCTGAAAAATTTATTACTTTCCATTTTTGAGTATAAGAAGCGGATATTGCTTCTGGATTTACTTCTCCTTCTGGTTTTTCACAAGGTTTGGTTTACAGTAAGAAAAAATTAAGTTGAAATAAATGCATCGGGTAGGAATCAAGACCTGAAAACTCAAAACGATCTGAAACGATTCTTGAAAATGAAGTTTAAATAAAAGAAATCAGGTAGGCCCAGCCTCTCAGCTGGGTGATACCAGTGGTGATCTACACCCCCTCTGCTGAGGGGCCTAGCATGACGACAAGTTCAATAATTCGTGTGCCCCCATAGGGTTGGGACGGGGTTGACCCTTACAGCAAGACAGAGCAAAATCAATGGGACCATGTTGGGCACAATGATTTAAAAATTTTTGTATCCATCTGTGAAAATTGTAATCTTCTGTACACATTGATAACTTTTTAAATTTTTTTTCAAAGGGTTAATTTTTCAATCACATTATTCTTACAGCAAAAAAAAACATGAATAAAGTACAGAAATGGGCATACTATAGTTTCAGTTCTATAAATAAGAACCTTTCTCAGAGTCATAACTCCAAATGCTAGTAAAGAAGTAAAGTCTAACATGGGCAATGTGGTTTAAACAATAGGGACAGATGGTCAAGTTTGAACAAGATAACAAAAGAAGAGAGATAAGAAACAGGTGTATGCAGAAACCCAGGGTGCAAAAAATTATTTTAAAATAGATTTCCAAAGATTGGGAAATGGGGTGATATTAGAAAGATCATTGATCAAATAATTAGAATTTTGAAAATATAGAATGATTCCCAAAAATCAAGTTCCGTAGATGAATAGAGTTGAAAGATTTTAGCAAAATTTCTGTTATTATCATTCTGCTAAATTCATTTAGCAACGGCCTCTAAATTTATCTTCATTTCGTTTTGAAAGAAATAGTTTACTTTGGAGTAACAACACATAGCATTCCCATTCTTTTTAATTTTATTTTTGCTTCGACTTTGCAGTTCTCTGGGAATATGTTATTTAGCGTGCTTCGAATGATTTTAGCAGAATCTCTGTTATTACCATTCTGCTAAATTCATTTAGCACTTCTCTCATCTACTGCCTCCACATTCTTCTTCATCTTGTTTTGAAAGAAATAGTTTACTTTGGAGTAATAACACATAGCATTCCCATTCTTTTTTATTTTATTTTTGCTTCGACTTCGCAGTTCTCTGGGTATATGTTGGTTAGCAAAAATGGCTGCTATTACAGGCCTAATGCTGTAGGATTAAATTAAAAGTTTTTCAGGAAATTAATAAAAGACTGGTATCAAAGTCACAAATTGCTAAAATATTCAAACTCCTGAAAAGCTTTTTGTGTTATTGCAATGTTTGTGAAAAGGTAACAAAGCAAATCTGTCAATATGAAAGAGCCCTAAGGGTTTTCCAGATAAATATAATGAAATTGAATGCATGGTTATCAAAAATTAACATTCACATGATAATGATTAGAAACCTATTCATTATGAACTTTAAGGAGATTATCTTTTTAAATATTCATGACTTAAACACACAAGCAAGTTTTTGATAGCAACTTTATAATAAAACATAGTATTGTGAATTATTTTAAAATATTCTATGTTTCTCTATAGGGTCATTAGATTAGTCCAGGTCAAAAGAAAACAATAAGTTATAGCATAAAATTGAAAGGAAAAAAAAAGGATGAAATAGAAACTTACTCTGCATCTGTTATGACAGTGTGACACTCATCACATACTCTAACATCAAACTCATATCCCATAATGGGGATTTTGCTTTGATTACTACTACATTTATCACACACAGCTTTGCCACATTTACGACAATGGTGCTAAAACAGAAATAAAATTGCACTTTAATTTCATACAATTAGCACTTTAATTTCATACATTTAATTGTTTTATGGGTTAAAAAAAATTAAATTACACTTCAATTTTCATAATCAATAAATTTATATACATAGAAAAAGAGAAACTAGAGGAAATTCTGTAAACTTGTTAAATATTTATCTGGAAACAAGTCTAAGAGCAGTTTAATGTACAAAAATATCTTTAAAAAAATGTGGTTCTTTTTTAAAATGCAGCAAACCTTTCATTCATAAATTTTTACTGATGATTATATTATGCATAACATGTTTTATGCAATAAATACAAGAAGCTTTAAGAGTGACGACAAATGATTTTCAGTAACTCACACCTCTAACACAGTCATGCTTCAGGGATTTAGAATTAATTGTATAATGAAGCAACATATAAAGTGTGGCAAATCTCAGTATTTAGACTTAAACATAAAAATAAATAGTTAAAAGTCTGGAACATGTCGGAACTTCATTTTTTAATAATTTAGAATTCCAGCTCAACTTGAAGGAGATAATTAATATTCTACGTGCAAATAATTGCTTTATTGTGAAAAATAAAAATAAATAATCTATGTACATGAATCAAATTGAAACTATGATTTAACAAACAATAAAGTTTGGAAGAGAATGACATTCTTTCAGCAATTAAATTTATCACAAAATGCAAAAATTTTAAAAAATTCTACTATGCCAAACATATATAAACAATTGGTAGCAAAAAAACAAACAAAACAGTCAAAGTTTATAAACATTTAATACGTACCTGCCGTAGTCCAATGGTTTTTTGGTCAACCATAGCTTTTATATTCCAAAAGAAAGGTCTGGAACACCGTTGGCAATAATCACTGTCTGCCCAGTCAGGTGTCTAACAAATTAGAATAATAAACTGCATTTAGAGAAGAAGAAAACTTAAAATAAGAAAGTGCTCTATTTTTTCTAACTTATATTTTACTTTAGTAGTCTTCACTTATTTGTTCTTAATAAATTTGTGATAGAGTACATTTGTACGGAACAAAATTTTTTAAAAAGGATGAAAAAGAAATATTTTTGATATTAGATTAAGAGAAATAATGTAGAAGATTTTAGAAATCTTGATTTTCATGCAAAAATTTAAAATATATAATAAATACAACAATTCAATTAATAGTATTAAACAGAGGATTTATTACTTTAAATTGTTCTGGTTTTAAATTTTTGCATTTTTTAAAACTGACAAAAAGATTTGGAGGCTAATAAGTTATTTTCAAAAGAACTACATTAAAACAATAACTTGCAGTACTGAATTACCAATTTGAAATTAAATACTTGTAACACTAAAATTACAATTTGCTCATTGAATTGCTATAATTTTTTAAGGAAACCTAAATAATTTAATGAAATAAAACTATAATGACATCTTTATTTTTCAATGATAACTATAAAGATTTTATATAGTTTGAAAAATATTACGGAAGAGAGTAAATAGTTTATGAAAATTAAATCACTTAAATTACTGAAAACAATGTTAAATGCCTCCTTTCTTATAAGACAAAAGTTTCATTGTGAGGAATGGGGCCTCAATAAATGGATGATGTCATAATCTTCATATAGGATGATAATACTTATCACTTCAATATGATTGCCATAAGAATGAAAAAACATTAAATAATTTATACGATTTAGTTGGTTACACATGATACAAATGGGTATAAACTGTTCAAATATTTAAACAGTATCCAAAAGAGTTAACTCACCTCCAACCTATTTACTTGCATGTTCCAAAAAACTATTGTACTATCTTCAGCTCCAGATATTAATTGTTTTGATGCATTGGCAAAACACAAAGATGTTACTTTATTNAAATTTTATTTAAATATGATCAATTCATCAATTTTGCTTTGCAAAATAGGTATATGGATATCTTATTTTAAAATTCACTTGCACTATTGCCCCAGATAGCTGTACTCCATTCTTTCTCTTAATAAGAAATATAATTTTATTTTAAATTGTTAGTTGATTCTATTGATTTTGAAATTTATGTCATTGATTTATATTTCTTTGCAAGCTTTTTAAAGCTTTCATCCCGATCAATTTGAAGTAAAATATAAAATTTTTCATTCTGGGATAAAATAATAGACTTCATTTTAGCAGAAGTAGAAACTATGATGATCAAACTAAAATGCACCGATAATAATAAAAAGGCAGACAAAGCAACACAAATACAAACATTTACTTATTTTAATGAAACCAAAACAGCCAACTTTATTAACAAAACATTTCTTTATAGTTCACATGAAATATTCCTTTTCATATAGTAACACAGTACAGAGAGTTTTTCATTTTGGAGCCCTATTTATGATATTTATCATAAAATACCAACTTAATGGTAAGTAATCTCTTATCTTCCGAATATCCAACTTTGAAAATCAGTGATCATAAGATGGAAAATTATCTAATGTTACCCTTTTGCTTATTAATTACACTCATTTCAACAATAAAAAAAGACTATATATAAGCTCAAATAGAATGCTTAAGCTTGTTTGAAATAGAAAACAATCTTTAAATAAACTGTGTGCACTAGAGAAGTTTAATGTGAATTCATAATTTTTTTAAAATTTTTAATAGTTCCAAAAAAGAAAAAAAAGTGGAAAGTGAAAGCATAATTGTAATGTATTTGGTTCTAAGTTCTTGTATATATTTGGCTTTTCAAAAATAATACATACAAAAAGAAGAGTGTCTTACTGGTGTCCTTGTAATTCATAAGCTGTACCCTGTTGACCTCCTATGTCCCAGACAATTATTGATTGGTCAAAACTTCCGGAAAATAAGAGCTTTCTTTCAGGATCCCATGATAAACACCTTATACTACCTGTTAGAAACATATAAAGCAGTCTATAGTTTTACTGAAACTAAGTTTTATATTATAACAGTAATTTGTGATTCAATTAAAAACAGTTAAACAAACTACCAAAAACATAATTGCTTTTAATTTACGTAATAACTAGTACATTTGATTAACCGTAGTCTAAACATATTTTATTTTGAACCAAAATTATAGATTGACAACAGGACTGGTGAAAGGGTGGGCAACTATCCCGAGCACCAGGTTAGGGGGCACCGAACAAGACTTAGATAGTCAAGAGTAAATCTTTTTCTCTACAATAATTGCTAAATAGTGAGATAGATAACTTCTTTCTTCATCTGATTTATCTTAACGTTTTGATCTTGCTTAATTTAGGTGAAGGGATTTCAAATCTGAAATCATCAGAATTAAAATTAAATAGAAACGCATGCTCGAAAACGTTGTCACACGCCACTAGGAGTGCTTCCCTATTATTATCTGTTCACATGAATGGTTAATAATAGTGAAATTCCGCTAGCAACGCATGACATCATTTCCAGACATGGGTTTTGATGCAAATTTAATTCTGATGATGTGCCTTAACTGCCCTATAAGTTTGTTGCAACATCTATGTGACTCTCTGTTATATGTTTTTTACTTGTACATTTTGACAAAAATAGACTAAAAATGTCATTAAAAAAAGGGTGCTTGGAGAGAGAAACTAATTGAAAATTTGAAACCAGTGACGTGAAAGTATTCAAGATACATTAAAAAAACTTCTGCAACGAGGAAAAAAATTATTGCTCATTGTAATCATTTAATATTTTCCTAATACTTAAAAGGCCATCCATTCTTTGGTTAATACATTTGTTACAGGATTATTTTTAATTTATTTTAAATGGTTACTTTTCAGATAGTATACTTCATAAACATTTTATTACAGGTTTGCTTCGTAATGAGAACTGTTATTATACAACATACTGTATGTTATTGTTCAACATACATTTTTGGCTTACATTGAGTGCCTGAATTAGAATGAACCTATGGACTTCAGAGCAATAAATTTTAGAGTGAATGAGTTTTTAAATAAGGAAAATTAGAAAATTTTAGAAATACCAAAAAATTGGCAACTATTTAAACAGTGAAAAAAAATAGAACAGAAAATTAAACTTAAACATTATATGCCAAATTTTTGAATTATATACACTTTCATATTATATCTAGGTAAAGAGGCAAGGATTCCTTGAAACCTTAGTAATAATGAATCTAATAATGAAGAAGCAATAATTGTGAGGGGAAAAAAAAATTCTGAAACAGCCATAAGACTTCACAAAAAATTGCCTTTAAATGCACAAGTTACAATAAAAAAATTTAAAAAAAAATTATACATACATATTTGTACTAGACTTTGTTTAAATTATTACAGAATAATTATCAATAAAAAGATATTGTTCAAGTCATCCTACTTTATGTTACAACTGGCCTGAACTTTTTGAATTCTGATTTGGGTCATGGTTAGCAATAAAATAATTTTTTTAAAACTATTATTACATATTCTGCTGTTTCTTCTACACATCTTATTTGAGAAACCATTTTTTTTCTTTTCCTTCTATTTTTTCAGATTTAATTTGCTTTATTTTACACTTAAAAGACTATCAACATAAATTAGCCTTATAGATGCATAACAGCTTCTATTAATCATAATTCCTCTTTGTAAATAGAAATATAAAAATATGAAATTTTTATTTTAAATGACCTTATTGCATTAAGAATTTCAAAAAGTAAAAATAAAATAAAACCGCAATAAAAATAACATTTTCTGGAAAAATTTAATTTTTATTAAAACACTTCTGTAAAATTGCATATTACTAATTGCACTCTTTTCAGATTCAAAAGAAAATGTTTTGCAGTTCAGAAGGTCGTATAGTTTTCTGACAATCATTGGACATATAAATCAATACCTATAATATCAAATGTGTAAAATATATATAAATTGCAAAAATTTGCAATTTTTAGAGAAAAAAGTTATAGAAACTTTCACATATTATTTTAGACTTATTTTAACTCATTAATACTATCACTTTACTAAACACAAAAAATAGTAAAAAAAATATTAAAATAGATACAAATGAAACAATATATACACATTTAAAAAAAAAAAACTTAATTTAACCACAAATGTTTTTTTAGATAACTGTATAATTAAGATCAGTTCACAAGCATGCTTTGTTTACAAGAACAAGTTCTCTTAAAAGGGGAAGGGGAAAAAATTTATCCTCAACGCAGTACCTGAATGCCTCTTTAAAGACGTAATTGGTTTGTAGCCGGATTCTTCTAACTTTAGCATTGTAATTTCACCAGTATCATCACCGATAAATACATGTTTTGATTGAGCATCAAACCTTTATAACAGTTAAGTATTTACACCCATTTTTTTTATTTTATATAATTCACATGCTACAGATATATAAATAATATTTTAATGTAAGCTTTAACATGATTAATTTCAACATGAAAGAAAAATACAAAAGCATTGCATAAGGATAAGAGCAATTTAAATAAAAGGTTGGCAGCATTGTTCAGGTAGTAAAAGTTACTAGAAAAGCAGTAACGGGACAGAAAAAAATAGAAATTCTATAAAAATACGAATTCTGCAGAAAAATAAATAATTACAGTTAAATTTCTTTATTAAAAATCTATATTTGGCTTTTAATCTTAAGAAAACAGAAGAATTATCTTAAGATTAAAAGTAAATTTTTAATAGTACCTGAATGTCCTTTTAAAGTAGTAATAGGTTTATAGCCAGAGTCTTCTATCTTTAACATAGTAACTTGGCCGGAATAATCGCCGATAAAAACATGTTTTGACTGAGAATCAAACCTTAATAATAAGTTAAGTGCTGATAACTAACACATTCACAACAGAATCAGTATTAAACAGCATCAAAAGCAAAAACTCTACAGATAAAATGAAACATGCAAAATATAATATCGAAATGAAAAAAATAAAATCACTAAAAAACAAAAAAGAATCTGAGAAACAAAATTATTGAATGATTTAAGCGTAGACAAGTAACTAAGAAAGTTTGCATAAATTGAAAAATTTCTTTAGAAAATGACATAGTAAATGCATATAAAACCGTAAATGCATTTTCTCCAAAAAATATTTTTACATTTAATTTAAAATATTATTCAGAACAGATTCATCATGCATCTGCAACCATTTTTCAGGACTTTTTTAATCACCAAACTTGGCGATAGGTGAGATTTATCTGGCTCTAGTTGTAATGCTGTTATCACAGAGAAATTATGAGAGAATCTGACGAAATTATGAGAGAATCTGACGCATTGAATGATATAGGCAAATGTAGCATGATATAGGTACTGGTGGAAGATACTATTTATGTTTTAATTATGCATATGACAGTTTTGAAATTGCATAGATCATAAAAAAAGAGGATATTAAAATGGATGCTGACATTTGACATTTTAATGCTGTATATGACACCATTGAAACTGCGCAGATCGGAAAATTAAGATTATATTGGAGTTGGATATTTGATGTATATAACTGGTTTCCATGTGCACAGATGGGATGAGAAGAGCATTGACGTGCTTAATTTTTAATTTGTCTTTTGTTTTTCTACATATCATTTTCTGCAGAAATTTCAATATTTTGCTTTTGGAATAGAATTTTGTGTGGAGTTTCTTTCTCTCTGCAGAATGAATGGTTTGATGCGTGATTGGGTTTTGTAAAGTGATTTTTAAGCAAAGTTGCATTTTAACCATGAATGTTGGATGTGGTTTTTCAAATTGAATTATAATTCTTTATAATAGAGGAAAATGATAAAAGGATTCTAAGAGAAGTTTGGATTAGAAAAAATGGTTTAGAAAATGTTATAGAACTGCGAAACAATAAAGCTTTTTTTAATAAACTGATGAGCAGGTAAAGTGAATTTATTTCGCTTATAATAAACTACAAATTCAATGTTGCTAAGCTGTAAATTTAACGATTTTGTATTAAATAAGAGTTTTTTTTAATTTACTCAGCGTTTCATGGCGATAGGAGAACTAGTAATCTTTTAATAGTTTTGGCAGAAAGTGAATTCATGCTTTGGTGCATAGTTTTTAAAAAAATTTTTATGTGTGTAGTTGATATTTAAATTTTTTCAATTGTTAATATGAATGATGATGATGTTGCCAATTAGGAGACTCTGAAGAGGTCATGAATTTAAGAAGAAAACTGAATAATCTTTTGCTTCATTTTGGGGGATTTCATGTTTCCTTTTTTTTTTTTTTAAATTTATACAAAGTAGTAACAGAACTGTTGCCGGAGTCATGATTCAACATAGATCTGCAGTATTTTTTATTAATGGAATGTTAAGATAAAAGTATTTGTAGCTTAAAATTTACCCAAAAAAATGGGTGCAAGTGCATAACAAAACTATTGCTACAGGTTAATGATTCAATAAAGATCAGCAAAATTTACCAAAAAACAGATGCAAATGCATTATAAAACTGTTACCTAGAACTCATAATTTGATCTACATCTGCATAGCTGCCAAATCTTCCAGTTTTCTCAAAGATTTTAGTTTTCATATTTAAAGCGGCAGTGACACTCATGTTATTCCATTAAACATTTTAAATTATAATAGTAATTATAAAAGAGTTTGATCACCACTACACAAAAATAATTGCAACAAATATGTAAAAGCTTAATAGTCCTTACAATTGCGAATTTCAGCCTGATAAAAGTATAAAAATATTTTTGAGTAAGATTGTTTTTCTGTAATTATTTTACAACCACTTGGAAAAACCAATTCTCGAAAAGAGTGAAAGTTGGCAGGTATGCATCTGCAGTATTATCGTTTTACGAACTGTACTTTAATGCTAAATAATGTCTGTTTTTACAGGCAACTTAATTTAATAGGATTGCAATATTTAATTCCTTTATGGCATGGTAAAAAATTGGCACCGTTGGAACTGTGTCAAATGTAGTTGGCAATGGAAAAAAAAAAAAAAACACTGAAAAATGTGTAGAGATTCATAACAAATCAGTTCCATTATAATAAGACAATTATTGAAATTTTTGAACAAGACAATTATTAAATTGTAAATGAATATTGATCACATTCATTCATAATTTTTTGAAAAATCAATCACACATTTCTAACAGGTTTAGTATAAATAATGTAGGTTTTATACTTTAAAAAGTATTAGTATAAGTAATAATATATAGTGCACAAAATAAAAAATGGACTGTTTTGAATAACTTTTGATCTACTTATCTGATTTTCACGTTCCAGAACTCAATCCTAGAGGTTTAAGAAGGTGACCTAAAATATGTTAATTAGCGCAGACAATATTTTAAGTTTCAAAATCACACACAAAAACATATTTTCAAGGAATAAACACACTTTTTCCCCGACGGATTCCGATTTCAGACCCCTAATATATAGGGGGTAGACGCAATCTGGGAAATATAGTACCCTTTATGATAATCCCCCCCCCGCATGTTGTACACAGCTATAAAATTCGTTTATTCAAAGATAATTCCATACAAAATATAACTGTCAGTAATTATTTGCTATTTTTTATTATTTTATTTAGTAATAGTCTAAAAAACTTTGAATAGTAAGATGTAAAATTTTTTACATTATTTTCAACAAAGNTTGTACACAGCTATAAAATTCGTTTATCCAAAGATAATTCCATACAAAATATAACTGTCAGTAAATATTTGTTATTTTTTATTATTTTATTTAGTAATAGTCTAAAAAACTTTGAATAGTAAGATGTAAAATTTTTTACATTATTTTCAACAAAGTAATTTAACATCACAAAATACAAAATTTGACTGAAATCGGTCAAATAGTTGTTGAGAAATTAAATTTTAAAAACATGGCTTCATTAAAATTCGATTTCCCAGGAACTATTCAACCAATTTTGTTCATATTTTCCTATTAAAATTACATTCTTAAAAATGATTTAAAAAGTAGTATACCTTACAATTCATAATTTTTTCGACTGTTATTAAGTAAGATAATAAATATTTACTAAAAGTTACATTTTTTATGGAATTATCAATCAATAGAGGAATTTTATAGTTGTGTGCAAAAGAAATTTCAATTTGCTTAAAAAGTTCTAGAGATATTGCAAAACACAAAAAAAAAAAAAAAAAAAACATTAAAAGGTAAAACTTTGAACCGCTCTCCTGACCAAACTAAGGGGACCATATTTTCCAGATTATTTTCAGAAATCTTAATCTGTCGAAAAAAGGTATGTTTATTCAGAGAAAGTACGTTTTTATGCCTGAGTTTGTAATCAAAAATTTTGTCTGCTATATACTAATTAGCGTATTTGAGGTCACTCCTTGAATCATTAAGATTGAGTTCTAGAACGCGAAGATCCAATTATTAGATCAAAAGCTATTTAGGATGGACCATTTTTTTATTTTGCGCACTGTACATCTTGTATATGAGAATCTAAATTTTGCCATAAGACAATCAAATAAGAACTAATTTTAAAAAATGAAATTTAACCTTTTGATCAGTGATCATGAACTTAGTTTAGAATAGGTTACTTTCTTGATAAACAAACTGGTAACAAAAAAAAATTTATAAATAAACTTTGCTGAACATAAAAAATTTTTTTGAAGGAGAAGTAGATAAACAGTTCCCCTGTAGATAAACAGTTAGAGTTTAAGCAAATTTTACTATTTCTTAAATAATAAAATTAGAGATAAAATAAATATTAGAGTTAGCTAAAAACAATGTTTCAACACTTGTTTAGTTTTTTTTCTTCTCAACTTAACAAGAAAAACAAAATTTTAAAGTAGACACAAAGTTTAATTTTTAAAGTTACACATTCAAAATAAACTTATAAGCAACTAAAATTAGCATTTTCAAACGTTATGAAACTAATCAGAAATTTTGATTTGAATTTAAAATTACAAGGATGTGCTTTGAAAATGTTAAGAAATAAAACAAAATTGAAATGTTTCCGGAATGAGACAATGAACAGGTAAAAAGTAAGTTAAGTTGAAAAAGTTGTTTTAAAAAAAATAATAATAAAATTGAAAAAATTATGATGAACACTAGTTATCTAATAATCTGAATCCTACTTTCTTGCAGTATAAATACTAGAGAGATAAGTTTCTGAAAAATGTCTTCCTTGCTGCATGCATTCAAATAAAAATCAAAGATAAAAATTCAGTTTTAAATCTTAATCAAAAATTTAAAATTAATGATTGCTATTATAAATAAAAACATTATATGAATTATTTCAGAATTATCTAAAAGTAAAATAGAGATAAAAACTCTAAAATTGAAATTTTTTTTATAACCAATAACAAATAGATTGTAACAATAAGTAAGGAAAGTTTAAATATAAAATATGACAATAGATATTTGACATATTTTCAATAGAACAAAACTCCTACCTATCCGCAATAAAAAGAAAAATATTAATATACAAGATATAATAATGTATTATACATTCTACATTAAAAAATCGCCTAACAACTTGTTTTTTAAAAAAATGGAGGAAAAGATGAAAATGAGGAACAAAAAGATGAAAATATTGCACGATTTATTATTTTCCTTTTCTCCTTGTACTGTGGAAACATAGGTTCATAGAAATGTCTTGGCTTGAACCTTTCAATTCTCTCTTACCATTATTTTTAATAAAATATGTATTATAATTGTAATAAGTGGGGTTTGGTTATCAGAAAATATTGCAATTAAAAACTTAATTTTGGAAAAAGAAAAAAAAAACAAAGTTGATAATGCAGAAAATTCAAATCAGAGAAACTCGAATGTTCTTTTAGTAACCAAATGATTCTTTTAAACATTAGATATGAAATAATAAATAAAATTATCTTTTTTAGAAAATGAAAATAAAAGAAATTTTGGAAGGATACTGTAAAGCTGTGCACCAAGCATTACATTGGAAGCCTCCTAACCTTTGGCCAGTTTCTGAGCAATGCCATTGAAAATATTTATCACGACCAACACTCAAGACCCATTCAGACCACAATGAGAACACAATATCAGCAACGCGACCTTGATGAGCTGAAAAATGGAACACATTCATAGACAACAGAACTTAATAATTTTAAAAATTTTGTTTTCATAAAATATCAAAAATGTTTTATATAAAAGTTCTTTTTGTTAAAATGAGCTTAATAAAGAGCTTCCCAAGAGTTTACAACCCATGAATCTTGATCTTAAACAGGACTAGGGAGTTTTATTTTCAATTTAACTTTCCGTTTTCAGAATTACTTTGAGACTGAATTACTTGAGCCCACATTGAAGTGGGTCACCATAGCTTCTTCAAAAATAAATATTCAATACCTTACTTATATTTCAAATATTAAAAAATTTTTGTACAAAATAAGCAAAACTAAAATTATTTCTTGAAAGGAAAAATTATAGATAAAATTGCTAACAGAAAAAAAACTATTAAAATACACAGTTACTGATATAACTAAATACATATATTTTTAAAATATTTTATTGGAAAAATTTGTTTTAAATCAGCACATATACCTATTAATAAAGTGACAAAGAATTCTGTTTAGTTCAGAGAAAAATAATTAAATTACCATAATTTTATAATGACATAACAGAAGACTTTTAAAGATAAATAAAAAAATAAATAAACTTTTTGTTAGAGTCAATATAATCTATATAATTTTTTTCTTTTTACCTAAATAATTTCTTTGATGATTCATTCGGTTATAATCTTCAGATAATAAAAATTCCTGCAATAAGCAAAAGTATAACAAACTTTAGATATAACACTTTATAAAACATAAATTTTAAGTATAAATTGTAAATTTTTAAAAAATAAAATAATTAATTATATATATATATACAAATAATACTATTATATTAATTAAATAAAAAATATAATAAGTACTAAACTTACTGATATAGTCCCATTATCCATACCCACAAATAAACGCTTTGTTTCCTCGCTATATACAATACAAGTAGCAGGTGCTGAAAAATAAATTATATTTGTTTCATCGCTTTAAACATTAATTCAGTAAGTTTTGAAAAAAATAGAAGATTATTTACTTACAAGGCATGTAATGACATATGCTAGGCCAAAATTGTCCTGTGTCACGTTTTAACCAAACTCGCACAGTCCTTCAAAGAAAAGACCATTTAAACTGTATAATAATAAAATAGCCAAAGCAAAAGAATAAAAACAACAAATTAAAGTGAAAGAGGTAAAAGACTATTTAAATTGTCAGTGTAATAAAACAAATAGCCAAAGAAAAGAAACCAGAACATAACAAAGTATAGGGAGAGGAGTAAAAGACCATTTAAATTGTTAATGTAATAAAACAAATAGCCAAAGCAGAAATAGCATTACAGGAAGAGCATTACAAGTTATGTTGAAAGAGGGGGTATAAAGACCATTTAAATTATTAGTAAATGAAAGAAATAGCCAAAACCGAAGAATAAGAGCACAACAAATTATAAGTAAAGGAGGTCATCTCATAAATTTGAAAACAGTGGAGTTTAAAATTTTTTATAAGAATTAAAGACCTTAGTGAAAGAATGTGAAATTTTTGACAACAAAATACCTTTATAACTCAATGTATTTTTGATTTTCAATATTAATTTGAGTTATCAAAGTTTCAAAGAGGTTCAAGTCGCAAATATTTTTTTTAATACTTAAAAAAACATTAGGAACTTGTGCATTGAAACATTTCAAGACTTAACATCTTAGTTTTGAAACAACGGACAGTTTAATGAATATTAATGTGTGGGTTAAATTTGAAATTTGTAGAACATAGATCACTAGCAAACAATGTTTGACTATTAAGAGAATAAATGAAAATTTTGAACTAAAAACTGAACTGAAACCTCGAAACTTTTGAACTGAAAACTTTTGAACTGAATCCTTTAAAAATCATAAAATGCCTTAAACTGAAAATGTAACCAATTTAGACTATGTTTTATAAGGCATGTTTGATTTAAAAAAAAAAAATGTGTCTGATATTCGGATTGCATCACATACTGATAAATATATTTATGTATTTATAAAGGTAACATTATTGTAGTTGGTTAACAACAGGCATCATGTGAAATAACATGCATTCAGAGAACTGAACAAAACTAAAACCAAGAAGAAAGTGAAAAATATGCAATTTAACTGCAAAATAAACTACTTCTCACAACACTTCACAAAAAGAGTGAATAATTTTCAGATAGGAAAAATATGATTGATGAACATATGAAACCCTTTTAAAAGAAATATTGAAAGAATATGATTATACAGGAAACTCTGATTTCTAAATGTAGGTGCAATTTAAATTTCAAATTCTCAATAATAGTAAGTAATCAATATTTCAAAATTCTTTTGACCATAGATTACGTCTAAGATCCCGTATGTAGGTAGGTAGTTTAGGGTAGTAGGTAATAGGTAGTTTTACCACTCTTCCTTCATCCAGAGAAAATTGAAGATGTTCAATGTTTACTGAGCAGTAACATAGCAAAAGAAAAGAAATAGGGGTTTGAAAAATTGTCTCAAGATTTTGTAATCGATTAACTCGCAGTCAATGGAAAAATGTCTAATTCCTATTTTTAAAGTTATTTTATTATTAAAAAATAATTAAACAAAATTACAGTTTCTATCAGGGACGCCACGAACTTATATGTTTGGGAGGGGAAAATTCTCATTTTGCAGAATGAAATTCCTGTTTAGAGCGAATCATAAATTAGTATTTGCTGTTATTTTTACATATAAATGAAGAAACATCATGAGTGGAATTTTTTAAGCTTACATTATTTCTTTATCTTTAGACATAAGACTGCGAAAAGTTACTGAGAATATTTTTTCTAAAAATTCAATTTCTGAAAATTTACCAAATGGCCAAACAAAATTTGCAGACTAACGAAATTCTTAAGGAGGTCACAGCGACCCTGGCACCCCTGTTTGTTATATTGGAAAAAACAATTCAATTTGGGCATTAAAATGGACATTAAATTAACATTACAACTATGGAACAGAAAACAGGACTTCATGCAGCGATCAATATAATGGAAGGGTCATACTATTAGGAGGTTCACTAAAGAGCTAAGAGTATACGATATGATTCGTGTTGTATTATTTCATTTAAGTAATTTTTTGGTCTTTAAATGGGTTTTTTATTTGGTTCCATATTATTGACACTACTAGCAATGCAAAATTTTTCAGACTGATGGCATTATTATTAGAGTAGAAACATGGCGCACAAGTTCTAATAAAATAAAATTTCGGAAAAAATTTCAGTCATTTTGGTGAAATTCTTTAGTTTGTAAGAAGAAACAGAATAAGTAAAGTTGGTAAATGTTACAATTGTAGTCTTATTTTCTTATTACTATCTTACTACAACAAATTAGATATTTTTGATGCATTTTTTTTTGTCATGATGTGGAAACAATGTTTTTGCAGACGATTCGCACGCATTAAATTTATTTAATAAAATTTTTACAAAAATAAAATATATTGAAAAAAAGAATAAAATTTATAATAAGGAAAATTTAAAACATTACCACAGTTTGTAAAATAAAAATAATCAAATAAAAAGAGAACTTAATATCAATACCTGTCATCACTAACACTTATTACACCTTCAGCATTAGGTACAATGACAGCCATATTAATAACATCTTGATGTCCTTCCAATTTGCTAATGAGTTGCGGTTTACGGGCATTGACGAATTGTGTACTTGCACCAGCAATAGGTTTAATTTCAGCAGCCATGACTAGTTCTACATTCATTAGAAAATACTCGAGTAAATCTTCATAAACTGAGAAATATTAAAACATTCAATTCAGTCATTCATTCCAGTCACATACTCAAGATATCCAATGAGAAAATATAAGGCTACTATACATAGTAAAAAACTAGTAATTTAGAATTTTCACAACTGGTGTCTTTTATCTAACCTTAGATAAAACGAAAAACTTTCTGCGAGCACAAAATCTCAAAAAACTTTCTGCACATATTGGTTAACTCTCATAACTAGTTTCAATTTTCCTTTTTGACGCCACCTCATTTTAGCCCATTCCTCTGAAAATCTTAGATTTTTTTAAAAAATTTTAATTTTTATAGAACTCTATATAGATTTACACCACAGTGATGAGTTTGGTAAAAAATCCAAAAAGCTTAAAGTAGAAATCCAAAAATGTTATGCGGAAAAAGACTTTAAATAATCGAAATATACCTGAAATTTAAGCAGGTTCACTCGTATCAATCTGGATACATATTAAAAGTTTGTGAATTTTTGAATATCTTTTGAACATCATCTGATTAAACCTGTTAGTTTAAGTGAGTAAAAAAATTAAGGTATCAAAATTTGACATCTGATCTATGTTAAAAGGCTTTTAGTTGTGAACTAAATAAATTTAGTTATTTCCTTTTGATATCATTTCCTCCCCCCCCTTTTTTTTTTTAATTTTGTGTCACATATTTGCAATGTAAATGTATCACAAAATTTTATTCTGACAGATTCTTAGTTTAATAAAAAAAAAAATAGTTTTTCTCAAACCATTGAATTTAAAAATGTATTATTTTATTCAACCACAATTGTTTTGATTGTTTCACTCTTTCTATGTATCATTCACACTTTATAATATACATACAATATTGATAATCAAAGTAAAATCAAACAAAATATATAATAAGCTTTATGATTTCCAATTTAGGAAGGTCTACTGAAATTGAAAATTACAAAGATATATTGATATTTTATCTTTTTCAAACCAGTTTACTTCTAACGTAAATATTTTTAACATATTAATATTTATTCATGCAAAAATTACATCTGTTTGAATAAATTTACAATAGGGCTTAAGATAATGTTCGAATTGCGACTTTCTGTAAAGTTTACAAAGGGAGACCCTCGTTGTTTCATTAAAAAAAAACTCTGCTAAAAAAAAAGCTCGCTTTGATATGGCGTGAGCGACTGGTTAGGTTTATCAACGTGCAGTATCTGATCAAACATGTGCTACCTTTTCGTAAAATATATCTGGCAAAAAAAATCCTCTTTTTCCCAGATTCCAATGAGAACAGGGTTTGCTTGAGAACTTGCTTTATTAAAAGTTATTTGTAAGCCTGTTTTTTCTAAAGTTGAACTTGTGAAGGTACCGCTAAACGGTAGTAAATATACCCCTGGTACTATAATGGTTTTATTTTAATTTTTTTCTTTAAATCCTAGAATTTTTTTCAAAATATGTATGTGTTATTTTAAACTTTTATAACGCGAAAGTTTTTTTCTTAGAATTTTTAATTTATCTCTGCCTACCGCCCCCGATATTTATGTTCATATTTTTTTAACAAATCAATTATTGATAAAATAGGGGGGAAAATATTTACAATTAGTATGAGTTTTTTCATTTTTTAATGAAATTCTAATAATTAAAAATAGATTTAATTTTCAGCAAATATACTACTTATCTTTTTGATAAAAATTTAGTGCTTAGAACATTTATATTAATATAAAAATTATCATATTTGCTACCAACATGACTAAATATGCCTGTGGCTTTTCGTTAGTCAACAAGCTGTGCAAGTGGCTCTTCACTCATAAAGGTTGTGCACCCTTAATCTAATCTATTAACTTAAGTGAACATTTACATCAATTTTAATAAGAAAGAAAATTTTGTATACAGTAATTTTAACTACAATCAAATAAGCACTTAATTTTTTTTAAATTTTGTTTTTCTAAAGTTAATAACAGTATCAAAATCAAACTAAGAATCTAAATTTTGAAGATTTCCTTTATTTTGAGAAATTCTGCATTATACTTTATTATTCATTAAAGTTAGTGTTTTTAACTTTTAAAAATCACTATACACACTTCAATATACTATCAAAGGAAAATTTAAAATAAATAAATATAAATAAAATATTATAAATAAATTGAAATATATTAAAATTAATTTACGTTTATTTTTGCTTAGCCAAAAAATAGAATAAAACTAGGGCACAAAAACATTTTTCAGATAACAAAATAATATTATTAAATGAGAATTACTCATCTAAGTTAAAAATTCTCTTATTCAATAATTTTATTGATTTGATGATATGATATGTAACTGTTGAATAACAACTGGGAAATATGTTGTAAAAATGTAATTCACAAAAACAAATCAATCATTTAATTTAACAAAAATTCATCGTTGATTTTAATAACAAAACAAGAAAGTTACTTTAAATATTAACCTAATAGCTGGTTTTAATGATATAAAATACATCTATAGTTGATTACGTGTACAAATAATTATGCTTTAGAAACATTTTATAAAATAAAAAAAAATTAAAAATAAAATATTTTAAATAGTGTAAAAACAACAAAAGTATTTTAAAGGTAATAGTTTCATTCCTATGTGACAAGTGGCACTTGGCAGATCTCAATTTTGGTTTTAAAATCATTACCAGTTTTGTTTTTTAACACATTTAAGCAGGAAAATATCATAAGTCGTTTTAATTCACAAACCTACTTTATAGAAAGCTTATATTTTCCACATGAGGCGTTAACCATCACCTATCAAAGCATAACGATTATCATAGGCCGTAAGCCATTGCTGCTATCAATCAACTAAAATAAAAACATTGAACAAATTGTTGCCATAACACACGAGCAGATCACGCAGCGACACGAACAAAAAGTAGTTTTTATGTCAAATTTACAAAGTTTCAGAACAATACGCAATAGTGAACTACTTTGCCAATTTAAAATTTTAGACTTTAATTTATTACGCAATTCTGGACAAGATATAATTGTAAAAGAGAAGTCATTGTCACGGGATGCTACTTTTTTTTTTGTTGCAATTTTTTAAGAGTGTGAGATTGGGAACATACACTCATGAGAATTCAAAATAATTGTCCCTCTTTATTTTATGAATTAGTAATTAAAAGTACTTTTAAATATTAATTTAATTAAAAAATTTTGCAAATTTTTAGTTGCAGGAATGCTAAGTTTGCTTGATCGTAAACTGTTTCAACTTTTCATTCGTTTTTGAAAAACAGTTTGGACAATTTTATATTCGTTTATTTCAGAAATAAAAAAATGGAAAAAACTGAATGATATGAAACTGAACCAACTGATTTTGTTTACGAACGCCTGCGACCTTAAACCACAAGGTGTTGGGCAGGCGAGGGGTTATTGTGGTTGGTCAAAATAAAAAAAGCACAGATAAACAAAAGTCGTGTTTCTTAATTTGACATCGCATTAAAATTGTAAAATATTAAAACGTATTTAAAAAGTAGTTTTATTCAGACATGCAATAAATTAAAATATTTATATTTCCTAATTATATTTATTGCATTTATTCTTGTTATTATTTCTTGTTATACTTGACATTGACTTCAAATGGAAGAAGGTATATTGTATGCTTCTCAATTAATCGAACTTTATCATACAGCTTTTCACTCTTTTATTTAAAGATTGTTCATACATTTCGTTTTTTTTTTGGTATACATTTAGATTTAAGTTTAAATTTTTCTGAATTGTAAATATTTGTATCCTATATTGTTATATATATATTTTTCTTGTCTATTTATAATGTCAAATATTTATATTAAACACAAGCTCATGTTCGCCTAACGGGCAAATCATTTAAATTACAAAATAAAGTTTGATGTAAAGAATCATTTAAAAGTCTTGTTTATGCAGGCATTTTCTCTGGAAGTTAATTGTTTCTAGGATTCTCAGGGGTCTGTTTAGAAGAAATTTGGGTTCACAAAATATCTTTTCATAAAAACGGACCCTTCACACAATATTTTAACTTAAAAATGAACCCTTCACAAAATGATTTTTCTTTTAATCGGACCCTTCACAAATTTGTTTATCTTCATTATTGTTTTGTTAATTGAATAAACCCTTCCCAGGGCAGAAAACAAGAAAGAGGGATGTAAAGGAATAAAGTTATGTCCTCGGCAGACAATTCTTCCATTATTCGTCCGAAATGAATATTCTGCTTTCAGCAGTATAGGCTAAATACCAGATATTTGTATGTTGCATCTCTAATTTAGAAGCAGCAATTGCTGTTTATTTCTGAAAATTTAATTTTTTTTAAATTATAATTTTAGACTGCTGAGCATAATCTTGTATCTCTTTTCAATTTATAACCATACTATTTGCACAAATTCATAAAAGCAGAACCCTGGTTGAAAGAATGTAAGTAATTTTTTCACAAGAACCGGACCTTTCACCAAATGTCTGGACAAACCCCTGGTTCTGCAACAAGACTTGATTATCAATGTTCTACTAGTGTCATCAAAAATAAACAACTCTCACGAGTCAAATTATTACCAAATTTTTTAGATGATGAATAATTTTATTTTGCTGTATTAAGCATAAAGTAACATTAAATATTCAGAATTGCAGTTTTGAGCATTCTCGCTTTAGGGCATATTTTTATATTTTCTAATTTTAATTTAGGTAACTTTGCTTTCGTGACTCTAGCAACGAATGAAACTTATAGTAAAGGAGCCATAGTTTTAGGAAAGTCTTTGAGACTTGTATCTACAAAACATAGGCTAGTTGTTCTTGTTACAGCTGGAGTGCCAGAAAAATATAGGTATAAATTTTAGCTTTTCATAATAAATAATTATTTTATGAAAAAAAGATAATTCAATTGGAGGTGGAAATGCTTTTTCCCATATAGTTAATATTTTGTAAACTACAGGAAATCAAATTTCGGAATTCATTAATGTCGATACCAAAAATAATAACTAATGACCTGCTTTGGTCTTTAGTTATTATTATTGGTATCCACATTAATGAAATGTGTAAAAAGTTTACTTCATTATATTATAAAATTTTTTTCATGTTGTATCAGGGTTGGCAGGTTTTTGACATGTGACAGTTTTTGACAGTTTAAACCATGGTTTAAACCGTCACGTCAAAAACCTCACTGTCAAAAATGTCGAAAATGTCAAAAACCTATATTCATATGTGAAATTTAATTAATACATAAAATTTATATATTTTTTA